TCGCATTTTGTCCGGAAGGTGATAAAACAATACATTTTCGGTTGTTCGTCACTCATACGGTGATATTTGAAAGCGTTGCTTTACTCAGTAAAGTAACGCATCAGTAAAGAAAATGTGCCACCCCTAGTATTTTACCTCATGAGATAAGAAAGTCTGAATCTGAAAAAAGTGAAGTTTTAGTGTATTCATCTTCATACCAAGAACGAGCTTGTGAGCTGGTGCACCTTGTTTCAACCATAATGCAACCCCAAAGTCCTAAAATATATTTCAAAGTTTTGTCTACGTATAGCACACTGAAGGAAATTGCTCTATCTTTTACCTGATTCAGCATGGCATCTTTTCCGAACTCATTCGACTGTCGATATAAAGGTGCATTTAATCCAGTTCGGTTTTGCCAAGGACCATGGAAATCATAAGTCATTATGTTGATGAAGTCTAGTATCCTATGATACATTTAAGAATTCCAGTAAATATGTATGCTTATGCTTGAAAATAAAATTCTATTACTTTGAGATTTTTTCTATTTCATACGCATTTGCAACGATTTCTCGTCCAGCAGCAACGGCTGCTGCAAGTAGAAGACGAGATTTTCCAGTTACGAGTGATTGTGCTAATGCTGCTTCTTTAAATTCCTTAAATACATTGTTATCATTTAAGATAAGAAAAATAGCTTCTTTCGAATATTTACTTACACGAAGAAATGCTGTGAAATAATATTTATCATCTGAATTTCCACCACGAATACCGGGAAATTCCCAATCAGTTTCGAGACCATCAAAATCATGTTTTCGAATATAACTCAAAATAGAAATATATCGTACTAAAACTTCTGAGGTAGCGAACAAATCATTACTTGATTGTGTCAAATATGAATGACCGCCTTTTCTTTGCACTTCTTACGACAGCTGAAAATGCATCCGATTTCATATTCCATCCTCCTACACCTAATAATGTTTTCAAATTTGGATTTCGAGTTTTAAGTTTGTTTACGCGACGATAAAGGTCTACAGATACAGAGAATGAAAATTATTATAACAAAATCATAGATATTTATCATACCTTCATCGTTCTCTTCAACTTTGGTTAACAACAATGTTTTGTTGTTAATATAGGCAAATGCATATACAATATGGGTACACAAGAATGGATCGATATTTTCTGGTGAAAACTTTCCTAAACCTGGTCGATATTGACTCCAACTATAAACAAGACAGTTATCTACTTATAATGATTAGAATAACAATGATATCTTACTTTGTATAATAGCACACTTTCTTGTATTTTAGTTCATCTAAAAATCGGCAACAACACTATCAAATAAAGTGCATTCCTTTACGAAAACGCAATCATGATGCGTTGAAAATAGTCTCCTTTTTCTTTACTGACACAAAAGTTTCATGTGAAATACGTGCCATCGTGCCTTCAAAATGCGGCTGAATTGCGGTTTTATGCATCCACAATAACTTAATAAGATATGATTAGTATATCCAGGAAATCGAAAACGGTGTGATTAACTGTCTATTAAATGCTCATTAACGACTCATCCAATGTTTATTAAATGGACATTTTCAGACCATTGACGCAATTTTTTGACCATTTTTATGCATTTAAACTGGAAATGCTTTAATGCCTAAAAGTGGTAGTTTTATTACGACCAGACAATGGGCATTTTATAGTGTTCGTTTATGGCTGTTATAGCACCATGTTAACTATCTATTATTCGAATGTTTTCTGAAATCAGTTCTGTTCTTGCTAGCAATCTCATAAAGGCTGAATTCACAGATTTCAATATTTCTGATCCTTTGGACCGTAGTAGAACTGGAGGATGCTTCCTCGCGACAAAGTTCGATGATTTGTATAATCGAAATAGAGGAAAACTCTAAGATTTCTCAAGAGGATTAACGTTGTAATTATATTAGTCATAATGGCAAAACAAAAGGATGAATGATTTGTTGAAAAATGATTAAAAACTGACACTTAACTGCGAACGTTAAACACTAGTTTTAAGTACGAACAGTTAAATGTCTGCTTTTAGATCCTAATTCACGATGAAATAAAAGGCAAAAAATGATGAGTGTTAACAGGCTGCTATATGACAATTTTCAGCCGATTAAAAGTCGATTTTTCCATTATGCAGTCAACAGGCAATGTATCAGTCATTAAATGTCGTTGATCTGGGTATGCATCTCGAGTACGTCCTTCTATGTAACTCGGGTGCGTTTCTAATGTACGAACTAAGACATATCCGTGGATATGAGGCATCTTGGATGCATAAGACCAAGATTCAGCTCCAATTCGAAGTTACACTTGTGTGGATTTTACATAAACACAATGGTGCCTTATTTTATAGACACTACAGCGTCCTACTTATTTACAATCAGTCTTTTATATATGTAAACAAGGAAATGGGTGGTTTATTTTATTTTACAGAAGTGTGGAAGCACACTACACAAAACTCTGATATCTAGTTCGAAGTATTCTTCTTCCAAAAACAAATCAGACTTTGCTAAAAAACTGATCATCCACTTCTTAGAAACTCAACTTATGCTCCAATGTAAGAAATAGTGTGCCCGGAAGTGTGTAAAACACCTACAATGATCATGGTGTATTCTTAAATGACGTAAAGTGAAAGTAATGTTTCTTTTTGTTCTACATTTTAAAAATTTTATTTAAACGATATGTGTTTTTCGTTCTGCTAAAAAATAGAGAACGAAAAAACGTGATTCTCACTGTATGGCCCTTAAGAATACTGCATATCACCGAAGGACAAAAAACGTTTAAAGTTTTCCAGTGAGTAAACTAAGCGTACCTACTTTTAAGCGTGTAGAATAGAAGTTTTATATTAATTTCACTTTATGTTAAGAACTACCAAGACATTTTTTATTCACAGTGAAGTAATGGTATGATTGCTGAATATGTTTGACATAATTCTAACGTACTTTCATTGACTGGTAATGATTTGAACGTATTTCTTCCATTTGATTTTCCGTCGGTATATTTTTTTCGTTCAAGAACCGGTGTATCAGACAATCTCATTATTGGATAACTATTTGACCAAAGAACACCTGACCCCTCCTTTTTAGAACTGATCTCATCAATTCTATTCGATGAATCTATTTTTAGACTACTTTTTTGATTATCATAACTTTGTTCTCTCTAAATCAAAATAAAACAAAGACAGATAAATTATCAGAAAATAAAACGAAATTTTTACCTTTTGAATTGAAATAGATTCCATTAGCTTAGTGACGGATGATGGTAATGAAAATTGGCGTGGATGCATTTCTTCATTATATGAATTTGGAGCAGGTGTGGCCATGATAAAATTAGCTACCCGTCGAAATTGTGGATCAGTATCAAGTGGAAATATATCGGATACAGCCCATTTATTTACACATTGCTGCATTTGTTCATTGAATGTTGATCGAGATGGACATCGAAATAATACCCAACTATTTAAGCTTACATAATTCAAAACACAAGGATAATACTGTGATGGATCCGAACGGTGTTTGCAGAATCGTTGCTCATCTAAATTTTAACATCAATATTTTAAGTCTGTTTGTGTCAATGAATACTAGATGGTGTACAAACGTGTATTGTCGTTCACTGTTCGTTGACCATCAACAATTTGAAATAGGATAAAATAATGACATAATTGTAATATAAATTCTGAAAATATATTATGAATTCATTAGAGTGATATATCTGTCCTGATAATTCTGCAAGTATATATCATATTCAGTTTTGAGCAAAGTAGTCAAATCGCAATATTTATTGTATTTGTTGTGAATAGACAGATAGACGAGTGTCAAATAATCAAGCCATTCAAATTAGAGAGATTTAAGTTCAAGAAGAGATAAAATCTAATTCAAAATATTAAAATAGCAATGTTAAACACTTACTATTAATTGCATTTTGAAATATTCCTTTCATATCGTATTCTTACTAATTCAAATAAAAATCAATTTTATATAAAATTAATAAATTATCTACTAAAAGATTTATATGATTTTATTATTATTATTATTATTATTATCTGTATATTAGTTTGAAGTTTATTGAAGAGTCTTTATATATGGATTACATCATCATCTGTTTCTTTTTACTTATTATTTTTTTTGTTTAATCGAAAGGATCGAGCGTCTTCACATCAGTTATTTATTCTCTATACGTTCACCTTTTGAGCATACATGTTGATTTAATGAATGGCCATAAATGATAATATATGCAAAAAAAAAAGAATATTCTTTCTTTGTTCGTACAGCTTATTGGTTTTAAATTTTCAATTAACTGATTCTTCTAAGCGGTCAACAGTGAGATTAGAAGAAAACAAAGAGTTGCCAACAATAAATGTTCTAGTTTTTATTCTCGATATGGTTATTTGATTCGTTAGCTACATGCCATACGACGGAAACAGGAAAAAGCAGTGTTCGTATATATATATACACTATATATATATATAGTTAGTGTCAAAGGTTGAATCAAAAGGTTGAAAAGACGTTAACCGTCAATAAAGTTGACAAAGAATATCCTTTTGTAGTATAAATACATGTTCAATATTATTTTTTTGTAGGTTAACTGTTGTTGTGTGTACGAAGGGATCAATGCATTTATGTTGGTTGACAAGAGAATATTCGATAATGTTTGATTAGAATGTTCAGTATTGTGTATATTCAACTGTCGTTTTGTTTGCAACCAAACAAACGAGAACAAAAAATAACATATTTATAATTATCCCCGACATTTTTGTTTTATAAACTTTAGAATTGACGAAAACATTTTAAAATATGCAGAATTGTCCCGTCATTGTTCTACTAATATGGTTTTTAACAATTGATGCAAATCAGATAAGTACGTCTAATTCAGATAGATTGATAGATTAGTAGTCAATTGTAGTATTAGAATTTATTGTATAGTAGTAAACTTTTGTATTTAAGTGTGACACTCTTTTAGTAGTACACACATTAGTACTATTTCATCACTTATCAATATTCATTTGAACATCTTATGAATGATATACAATAATGACAATTTACATTAGATCAACCACATATGACTTCTATGAGAAATATCTGTTAACACATCACTAAATTCTTGATTTTAAGTATTAGATTTCTTTTGTGATTATTTAATAGCATATCTTTTTATTAATTTCTAAAGATAACCGGATATGATTTTCATTATATTTATGACACATAATTACATTCTTTTACGATATAGCTTGTTTATCTGAGCTCGTATCTATTAGTGCTAATTTTACTATATCTCTTGTTTAATATTAAAAGTCATTTTGAATTTAGGTTTAAAACAACCGTATTGCCGAGATTTACGAGATTGTCAAACCTATTTTCCTTGTTCAGTTTTTTCAAATGGTTTCAGTTATCTTTACATCATTAAAAGATGTTCAAATACGATGATATTTGATGAAAAACAACAACAATGTGTCAAAAATACATATACCGATCGTGCATGTCCGCCAAAAGTTATAGTTGTTCCGCCTAAATACAGTCAAACGTCTTTCTCTCTATCGACACCATTCACATCCAAAACTAGCTTCAAAAGAATTCAAATGAGAACTACTAAATTTAATTTGTCAAAAATAAATGATAGTAATAGTCTGAAAAATAAGATTAAACGACATAACAAAGCTGCATTGATGAAAATAAAACTACAGGGTCTAAAAGCCATGAATCGTACGGTTCTATCGAAACAGAAGAAGACGTTTGAAAAGAAAAGTCTTCGTGAAGTCGCTGATCAAACAAATGAGGAAAACGAAGCTGATGAAAATGATAGGAGTGAGGTAACAACAGAAAATGAGAATATGGAAGAGGATACTACAAAATCATTAGCTACCATTCGAACAGATCACGGTAGTGTGAATTCCTTGTGACTTTTAATCTTTTTACTAGCTGGTATTTTCAGTACATCATTTTAGCTTCACATAATGATAATAAAATATTAAAAGTTTGCTATATTACAAATTGGTCTCGTTATCGAACTGGCGATGCTAAATTTGAAATTGAGTTTATCGATCCGTTTTTATGTACTCATATTGTGTATGCCTATGCAACAGTTGATCAAGAAAAACCAGAAATTATTCCAATCCAAAACGATGATCGTGGTAAGTAATTTGTAAGCAATATTGATGAATACATTATTTTACGTGTTTTGAATGATGATAGAACATTACCGAGAACTCGGATTATTAAAAAAGCAAAATCCAGATTTGAAAACATCGATACGGTTAGGAGGTAAAAGTGGACAATATACACGTTATTTAAAACGATCAAATACAGCAGCACAATTAGTGAGAAGTATCATATGGTATGTCAGATAAGAGTTTGTATAATTTAGAATGAATATTTTTTTTCTATCTGCGTAGTAGTTGGCATACTTGGGAAGTTAATGGATAAACCGCGAACCGCGAGAGAACATTCCCAAGTGATTCACCCGACTTAGCTGATATTTTACTGATCGCAAGGGTTAGTTGGTCTTACAAAAATTCTAAAAGGATTCCTTTCCAAATTACGATCGATATAGTGGAATTCGAGTTTTGGATATTTTCGCACATGACTTTTCAAATATGCTGAAGAGCTGAAACTCGTAGCACTGATAGTCCTGGGTATAATCCTTATGTCGTAAAAATGTCCAGACTTTAGTCTTTTATCCATTATAAGGAATCGCTAATTTTCATTTTATCATGCAATGTCGGCACTGGCTTATGATTCGAAAATGGAAAAAAGATATTTTCTCAATCAAGCTTATTTTAGTATTCATAAGTTCGTAAAATCTTTTGTTATATCTGTTAGAATGTTTTTTAAATGTTACACTGTTCGATTAGACGGTTAGCTTTTTTTCTGTTCGTAGGTCTCAAGTCAACACCAACATTGCATGAAAAAATGAAAATTCGATTTCTTATAATGGATAAAAGACTAAAGTCTGGACATTTTTATGACATAAGGATTATACCTAGGACTATCAGTGCTACGAGTTTCAACTCTTCAGCATATTTGAAAAGTCATATGCAAAAATAGCCAAAACTTGAATTCCACTACATCGATCATAATTTGGGAAGGAATCCTTTTAGAATTTTTGTAAGACCAATTAACCCTGGTGATCAATAAAATATCAGCCAAATCGAGAGAATCACTCGGGAATGTTCCCTCTTTAACAACAGATTTTTTATTTCATTGCTGATCATCACTTTTCTATTACAAAGACTGTTAGTGCATGGGATGGTTCGATTCAACAAACATTTTAAAAATTTGACTCGATCAAAACTTTGTTATTTAATACTTTATTGTTTTGCATCTATCTATTTTCTAATAAAGTTATAGGCAGAAGCAGCCCGTGGCTGTTACATACCTGATCGAGAGTTACTTTTGGCTAACATCGTATTTTTTTTTTGTTATGAATAGGTTTATGGCTACCTACAGTTTTGATGGTGTTGATCTGGCCATGGAGTTTTCTGATGATGACGTACCAGAAGACAAAGCTGCTTTAGTAACTTTACTTGAGGTAGCGTAAAAGAATGGTCTAAAACATTGACAGAAAGTAAGAAACCACAATCATTTGGTTTCTGCACTCTAAACAAAATCGCACGTTATTTTCTGATCCATTTTTTATCTATCTTATTATAAAATGATTGTATAAGACGTTTAATTCATTGTGCCTATATAGTTGACGAAGAAGTCTATTACCTCTTTTGTTTTATGTTTATCACTCAATTTAAAGAACGACAATTTATAAAACCCACTAAATTCTTGTTCATTTTCAACCACTACCCATTGGGAAAAACTTTAAGATGTTCGAATTACATCTTAATCATCAGAGCGCGTTTATCCCCTGGAACTAACTGTTTCTTGTTTCAGGAACGCGTCTAAACGCATTCTCAACCCTGATGAACAGTCTAGACGCGTTCCGTGTTAAAAAAACACGGTTCCTTTCGAAAGCGTTCTTCTTCGAACGGTTAGGAACGCGTTCATATGGTTGAAACGTTTGTCTGAAACAAGAAAAGATGACCTTTAGGGGATTAAGTTCCCATACAGGCGCGTTCTACCCCAGTTCAAGGAGAAGCTTCTTTTGTTTAAAAATCAGAATAACGAATCCAATTTTCAAAAGCCCGTTGTACTGCTAAATTTAAAATGCTACAGAAATTTCCGAAATAAGTATCGCAACGTAAAAACTTTGGGTTTTACATTTTAGTAGGTAGCCGTTTTTTAGTGCTGTAAAAGTGTCGCAAAAAGGTTAAAATGTTTTCTTTTTTGAGCGTGCTATATACATAGAAGAGAAAACCGAAGAAGAACATCTAGAATGTTAATATATGTTCTAGTTTTTCTTCTAGGAAATTGCAAAACAAAAACGACTGATGTCGCCACGTTCATTTGTTTCACTTACGGCTGCTCCGTTTGTTGAACATTTACACAAAGCATATGATGTTAAAAAAATTGAAAAGTAAGTTGTTTCATTAATATCTATTACTATCACAAAGTAGTTGACACATATTTATTTCAGACTTGTTAATTATATAAATCTAATGACATTTGATTTTTATGGTAAATGTAATTGACTATTTAGAACATTTTCGTAATTTCTGAATTTTATCTTGAGGGCCATGGGATGATAAGACGGGAGTATTTGCACCATTATACCATCAATCTTATCAAACAGAAGCTGAAACACTTCGAAATGTGGTGAGTTAAGTGATAAAAAACATGTTTCCATAAAATTGAGATTTACGGTAGATCACTTCTTTAGGACGGTTTGGTAAAACTGTGGATCAGCCTTGGTGTGCCACGATCAAAGATTATTATCGGTATACCGGCTTATGGAAGATCATTTTCATTAAGAAATGGTGAAAATGGATTACATGCACCTAGTATGGACCTTGTTAGAAAGGATTCAACAATGAATTGCTTGTCTACTCTTATTCTTTAGTAAACGGTCCCGGTTACCCGGGACGTTATACAAAAACACGAGGTTTTTTGGCGTACTATGAGGTTTGCTTTAAGATTTTAATCTACTCATATTCTTACTTTGTAATAACATTTACCGTAGATATGTGAAAAGGGGCAAGCTCAAAACTGGCAACGTGTATGGCTTGAATCAGAAAAATCTTGGTATATGACAAATTCCGATCAATGGATTTCATATGAAGATGTCGATTCAGCTGCTCTTAAAGTATACTCTACTGTTTGTCACTTCTATTCCATCGTACACCTACATTATTTCTTTTTCTTCTAAGGCACAATATGCAAAAGCCGAGCAATTAGGAGGTGCTTTTATATGGAGTATTGATAATGACGAATTTTCTGGATTTTTTTGTAATACCGAACCATTTCCTATAACTCGTCAAGTATTTTCCACATTAAATTTACCCGTATCAGTTACCGTTAGTTCAATGCAAACTCTTCAGCCGTCACCAACCGCTGTTCAAACTGTTCGTTTTCTTCACGTGGCTCCGTTAGCAAGTCGAGCACCATCAATCAGTCAAAATATCCCACCAAATGCTTTACCTAGTTTACAACTTTTATTGAATGCCTTAAGTACTTTCACAACAACTGCACCACCAAATCATCATCCACCCCCAGTCGCTCATCAGACGTACAATGCTGATTATATTTGTGGACGGCATCGTGGTGGTATTTATCGTGATCGAACAAATTGTTCAATGTTTTATTTTTGTGAAGGTGAAGATCGTTCAACGTTAAGATATCATATTTTCTTTTGTCCACAAGGATTAGAATTTAGTATGGAAACATGTACCTGTGACTGGCCAAATAATCGACCATGTATGTCATCTGCTGAAACATTTTGTGCTGATCATGCTAGTTCACCACCTCTCATCACAACTACAACAACACCAACGCCTCTAATAAACGAACTAAGTGCTTTAGGAAAATTATTACAAGTAGCGTCTGTGCCCCAAGCTCTATCCACATCAAACTCGTTCGATTGTAATGAAAAACGTTCAGGTTTATATCGCGATTATTATGATTGTACTAAATTCTATTATTGTACAATGTCACAAGATGGATCAGTTTTGAGATATGATTTTGCTTGTCCATCAAATTATGCATTTAGCATGACGAGTTGCCGATGTGAATGGAGTCAAAATGCTTGTACAACACTAACAAATACCGATTGTCTCATATTATCTTAATTAACTAGAATTAATTAATTACTTAAAAATGTCTTGAAATATGATTGCACCATAACGTTGATCATGAATATTTAATGTTTTGTTCAGCGTTTTTGTTTTCTGTGTTTTATTAAAATTATTTTTATTCACCATTTTGAGTCTATCGATTCAATAGCAAGTAAAATTTATCTTCGATTAAACTATGATCTCTAGTTTTATCTTATTTTTTTAATATGTATGTACATATATCTAATTTTGACCTTGACTTTTTGGTTGATTCATGTGGCCAGATAGAGTGAAACAAGTCATGGTTACTAAAACTGACCACTTACTCCCTATTGTATTTGATGTATTCTCAAGTCATTATTTGCCATACCACATATCTATCTTATGTTGTTGTACATGAAAATCTCATATGCGGACATGCTCCATTGAACAGACATTGAACTAAAAAATAAATAAACGAAACATTCAAGTTGACCTTACTTCTTTTCTCTTTTTTCTCAACACTATGGCAATTACATTAAATCACACATTATTCGAGTCACTTTTATTTCCCACTATGCATTGCTACAAAATGTAATCTTCTCTTCAGAAACCTAGTTAAGAACATTTTTCAGTTAACTCAGCTATTTTAAGGTAAGATAACCATCCTATTTCTTGAATAGTCATTTTTTACGAGTTTCCTATATAATAACGGTACTGCGGACTTTCATCGAAAACTATTTAATCGAAAAGGAATTTCGTTGAAAAATACTTTATTGAAATTATTTTACGGTAGGGTACGGGTAAGAAGCTTAAGCGCGGATAAGATTTAGCAAACAGCAGAGCCGTGAGAGTGCATAGGAAAGCTCTTTCAGAAAGAAAACCATGAACCAAGAGCCAAAAAGTATTTTCGATGAACTATTTTTCGATGAAATTCCTTTTCGTTGAAAGTTCAGTGAATCATAATTACAGTCATTTAATAGGTATATTGCGCACTTTATAACCAGAAGAAATTCATATACTATGGTACATCACAGTACAATACTATACAATGTTGAATGATATTTTTCATAAAGTGAACTATCTTTAAGACGAACGTGATTGCTTTTTCATTTCGGATATGCTGGCGAATATTCCAATGCACTATCGATTTCCTCCTCTTTATGGTTCCCAATATCATCATCCAGATCTATTCCTACCTTCAACAAATCAGTTGCCATCATTATGGGCGGCTCATCCTGCACGAATTCTTTCTTCTAATACAGCCAAATATCCACCGGGTTATTCATCGTTGCCTCATATAATTCCATTTACATTTCCATCAATTCCTCCTCAGCAACATCAGAGACAAATTCCTTCATTTGGTTCATGGTCAAATACGCGGTATAATCATTTGAAAGAATCAACAGGACATCATTATCGACAAATGACAAATAGTTCAACTCCAAGTGATAATAGATTTGAATTTGAATCATCTAATAATTTACACAATCCTAAAAAAGCAAAATCATTTTCTGATTTACGTCAGATAGATACACCATCGCGTTCAAGAAAATTTCACGGACGTCCATTATCGCACAATGGTGTCGAGTTACGAAAAACAAGTGCTTCGCCACGACGAAATCTTCTACCAAAAGCTCATAGTTGGCATTTTACATCGAATAGCCATAATCAGAATTTAAGTGTAGGCTATGCGAAACATATCATGGACAAAAATTTACATCATGCTGGTATTAGACGACCATTTTTATTACGTCCAAATCGTCCATCTATTCGTCGAAAACCACACAAAACCGGTCTCATACGAATTAGTACACTGGATGAACTACCAATTATTCAAACAAAGAATAATCCAGATGATATCAACTCAAAACCGAGGTCATCGACACAGAAACCACATTTATCCCGAAATAGTCTTGTACACCCACAAAAATGTGTCTACAATACATTAAGACGAAATTCAACGAATAACTTGAAACGATCATTCCGGAAATCAAACGCAAATCAGCAGCCTAATCGTTCGATAGCAAAGAAATCAAATAGTACTAATGGAAAGAAGGGTAAATTAAACTCTCCGTATAGTTTGCATTAGTCCGTGATATGTTTAATTGTATTCTTTAGAAAAAGATTTTGATCAGCAATCAAGATCGACTAGTAATGAATCATTTCAAGATATGCTTCGAAATGATCCATTGTTGGTCGACGCAATGAAAGAATATAAAAAGCTTCGGGCCCATTCATCTCGAAGTACATCCATTAGGTATAAATCGTTTACCAATAAAATTCTATTACAATAAAGATAGTATGTTTGGTTTCAGCCATGTTCATCAGACTCATCCAAAATCTCAAGAATCTAATCATCATCATCGTAAACGATCACTTCAACGTGATTTAAGTGTAGATAGTTTATGTTCAAGTATAGATACACACCATAGATCATCCTCAAGATATAACGATAGTCAGTCGAGTTTTACAAGCGTTGAACGATCGGAAATACGTCGTCTAATTAAAACAATGAAAGAAAATTCAAGAAAAATGCCCTTTATAGGTTGTTCTACAACACAACATGTTCCAGCAGTTCTACCAAACAAAGAATATAATCAACATTGCCTGAAAAAATCATTAATAGCTAATGAATTAGATAAAGAATTTAGTCGAATACGTGCTCAACAACCAGATCAAGATCTGATTTATGTTCCACCAAGTATGATTTGTCGTAGACAAAAACCCTATCAGTCACCATCACAAAAAATCAAATCAGTCAATAAAGAAATTGCATCATCACCGTCACCACCACCGACATTTGCCGAGCTATTGCGGAAGGTTCAATTAAAACCAGTTGACACCAAAAAGTTGGATGAAAATGTTAGGGAAATCAATGTAATGCATAAGTCAGACATAATCAACAATGTAAGTAGCAAAAGGCGTTATTGTTCTAGATCATACGTGATGTATATTTTGATACAAAGAACAAAATAATCTTTGATAAACATCTCCATCGTCTATTTGCTTTTCTACCTTGAAATAATACTAAATTTTACTACTTTCAGTCTATCATAGAAAAATCAACTGACGTTAAAACACAAAATGATCTTAACTCAGTACCACCTGAAATTTATGAGAATCCAGTTGATAGTCTTACAATACACGGTAAATCATCGACATCCGATAAAACAGACTCTTCTCACCAAGAAAACGATGAAACCAAGTCGACAGCTAATTCAGTACCGAAAACTGAAAGTATCTGGAAAACAAAAGAATTAGGTAGACATCAGTCATCGATTGAAAATTACGAATATGCTACACCAATGAGAAAAGGTGCAATGATGATAAAACAACAAACAGAAAATATTCCGTGTGACGTTGAGATTCCAACAACGTCCCAATTTCAACCAAGTTTGCGTTTGAAAACTGAACAAAAAAAACTCAGGAGCTTCAGTTTTTGCAAACCAATTGCTGATGATGTACAACAACAACAATCACTACAACAACAACCACTACAACAACCACTACAACAACAACCACTACAACAATCACTACAACAACAACTACAACAAATGCGAAAAGATAAAATTCGTCCTGTTTCGATGTTTAATTTTTTACATTGTGGTCTAACTAATCCTTTACCAGTTACATTTCAACCAAATCGTAATCAAGTAAAGGATAATATATACTCAACTGAAGAACAAATTGATAAATGTGTCATGATAAAGACAGACGATGACAACAGAACAATAAATATCGACTCAATAATATTACAAAATCATTTGGATAATAATCATATAATGACAGATTATTTTTATTCCGATTTTGATATTAAACCTTCAACATCATCGTCACTGTTTCATGATTTATCAAAAGTATTCCATAGACGAAAACTACATTCGTTCAAGGGTTGTAGTGAGAAAAAGCAGAAACCAAAACATCGATGTTCAATTATGTAATATATCATTGACAAAAATAATATATTCAACGAGAATGAACAATATTATCTATCATGATATAGTTTTTAGAACCGAAAGATAAAAAGTGTACTATAATTTTTTATCTATTCTGTTTTCTTTCTATGTATACTTTTTCCATAACCTCTAGCATAGAAACATTTCTAAAATTGAACTGTGAAATTTCACCATGTAAACGATCTGTCATTGACTACAAAAAAGAAAATATATCAGCGACAATTGTTTTAAGCAATCACTTAAAACTAATTCGTACGCATGAATGAAATCAATGACTTCATTTAACTATCTGAAATCAACAACCATCTATTTTAAGTATTGTCCGCTTCATAAAACATTCACCTGTTATACTATAGCGTACTACATTTAAAATTTAGTGAACAATATGGTACTGCATATGGAGTCGAAATAGATTTAGCTACAGTTTTTTTACAGGCGAGTTGAAGAAAAATCTTTTTTGCAAGTTACTTATAAGCATAAGAACATGACTAATCCGAAAACATCTTTGCTCAGGTCTTTTCCGTTACCGAGATAAGAGACATTATTTCCTATAATCTGACTCTTATTTATTGCTCCGAAGGCAAGATTTTTTGGTGAATTGATTACTTAGGCACCTGTAACTTTGTACTTAAATTCTCTGACAGTTGTAATTATATAAAAACGTCTCCCATGGATGGAGAGAGCGCGCAAATTTTCTAAATTTTGGACTTTTTCCATTTTTAATCATGTCGAGCTTCTGCTTTTTTCACGATTTCCACCAATGAAAAGTAAGCTCGCACCTGGCAACATGTCTCTATACTGTACTTGAGCTACTTGTAGTTATTTTATTCATAAAGATATGATTATATGTAGCCGATAGAAAAGGTAGTTATTTTACGGATAATGCCTCCTATCTTGGTAACGGGAAAGACCGGAGCAGAGATATTTTCGAATTAGTCATGTTCTTATCTTATAAGTAACTTGCAAAAAAGATTTTTCTTCAACTCGTCTGCAAAAAAACTTCAGCCAAATCTATTTCGACTCGATATGTGTTTAGCATTCCCCATCTATAAATCTCTTTAATATAAATCACTTTTAGTTTTATTAGCTTCTAAGAGCGATTAACGCTACAAATACGAGAGAATTTTTTCTTTAAATACTTTTACATTAAAGTAATCAATCATACATACACATAATCTAGTGCGGAATGTCTGTACAAACATATGATTATTTTTTAAATATAAATTGAAAATGTTTACATGATATTTCACAAAAGAAACTGCTATCATATTTAGGTATCGAACAACGTCTTCGTATAACATACAGGTGTACGAGTAACTTTAGTTAGTCTACAGAAGATTCCTCTATTTGGATTTGTTTGAAAATATCTTTTTCCTCCTACTCTTCCATCATTACATCCATTTGTTTCATCATCCAGTACAACTGCACACCATTCACCCTCGGCAAATAATGTTTCACCAATATAAACGATAACACCTGGCCATTCACCATTAACATAGACACGATCACCAATCTTTAATGAATCAGTATCTGTATTTAATATTGGTTCAAGTTTAGCTAATTCAATTGTTGTTGCTTGTTTATCGATACTAGATAACTTATTTGGTGTATAAGAACGAAATTTTGTTTTCGATTTTGTTCCTGTTGTTGATCTTGAACGACTCCCATTGAATTTATTTGTTGATTTATAGTCTTGTTGACTAATACTATGTGATAATGATGATTTTGTTCTCTGAGATGATGTTGAATTTGTTGATGTTGAACGAGATAAAACGATAGATGAAAAGGATGTTGATAAACGTTGACTTTGAGTACGACAATTTCTCATATCAAAATTGTACAAATTCTAGTCAACACTAATGAAATGAAAAAGAAATTATTTCTATGTAGATATAGTGAAAATAAGATTAGTTAATCACGTATGTATAATAGTAGAAAAGAGACTAAAATATTATTCCTAATCATATTAATAATATATGTGCGTGCGTGGCATAGAAATTTAGATTTATTCTTATTTTTTTTTTTTGTTCATGGATCACTAAAAAGTTGAAATTAGGAGTATTTGTTTAACTCTTCCTTCATTAACGTTGAAGAGTAGCAATGTGGGAGCGAAAAATAGTTTTGTATTAAAAAAATTCTAAAGAAACTTCTCAACAACTTCTATGACTATTATTAATAGTTGAAAAACAGCTAGAATTTACTTATAGAGATATGTTCCATACAAATATTCTTTACTGCTACACACGCACACACACATACCTAAAATTTTTTAATTGTTACTGTACCTAGCCATTGTGTGCATATAATACTCTAGTTTCATTCGATGTTACATCACAACATACCTTATATCATCAAATTCCACTATTTTTTCTGTGATATGATCAGTAATTAATAGCATATTTTGTTAGAGCATGTTCAACTTCCGACTGAACAAATTAAGTACAGGTTTCTTTCTATTTTTTCGTTCTTTTATTTGAACTACCAGGCACTCTCTATACACTATAATTATTTTGACGTAACCTGAAACGTTCTCATACCAGCATAGGACTATTTGTAAAAAAAAATAGAAAAGAAAAAAGAAAATGTTCAGAATCATTAGGCTTTCTGGTTTCTTCTTTTTTTCAATCTCGTCTATTCTGAATATATGAAATATTCAAGAAAACAAAACCTTTACGAAGAGATGGGTTCATTTACCATTAACGTTTATTTGCAATGACTCTCTCTTTTTCGTTCTTTCTTCTTTTCCCACGAGATTCTTCTTTATACATGGTCGAGTTGATTGAAAATGATGAAAAAGCTTTCTTCATTTCCGTTTATTATTGTTATTTAGAATATGACCAAATTAAATGGATAGAGACACAAAAAAAGAGATTGTTAATACCCAAATAGCGGATGTTGACCCAAAGATTTTATTTAATTAATTTCGTAAAAAAAAAACGTAGATAATTTCGGGTCAAAATGTTAATTTTTTGATTTAATCTTGATGTCTCAAACGTGATTTAGCACATGAAAATTCTTTGAAATTTATAACTCTTTCGATTTTTACAAGAAACGAAAAGTCTATACATTCTACGAACGTAACTGTGTTTAATTCTCAATTATACTCTTCCATTTTTCTATTAAATATAAATAGATATTATAATATAGAACAATTATACGAATATCTAGAATACTAACCTATTCAATAATATTCGATTTTATTTTAAACTAAAAGCAGGTTGATGCACGAGCAAGAGTCTATATATAGTCACATACAAATTATGCATTAAAACTTCCGGGAAACAGAAATGTTTATATAAAAATGATTGTTGCCTCAATCAATTATAAATTGAGTGTAGCACTCTGTTTCCTTTGACATCATATTATTATCCATTCATTGACTAGACGTTCATAGAAGAAGAGGAAAAAAACAGAAAGATTAAGATAATTACAATATGATGTACAACATCAATGTCCCATTTTTTTGTATATCATTGCCGACTTGTATATGGTTAATATATGTTTGAAAATATAATTAAAAAAATACACTGTTATCAAATACAAAAATATAAAAACAAAAAGAAAATTGTTTACTCTTCTGTATTTTTGAGTAACAGAAAATTGCAGAAGATTGTATGAGATAATGCATATCCTTCTTCACTGATGTATTGACTGAGGAAGATTATTCTAAAACTGCCTACACCATAGGTCCTTCGCAAATACGAACAACACTACTTATACTCTTAACATATTTTTCACAGTAAACACATACAAATAAAAATACTACAGTAAGAGAGTCTTTTATCAACTTAAAATACAAAAGAGAATAAGATTTAATAACACAGAACTAAACTTTTAGTATTAAGTAAAAAATGTATCAGACATTGTAAAAGAGAATGCACAAAAAACATCTCCTGAGGTATTATACATAACCGAAAACAAAATTTATACGTGAAAACTGCCTATAGTTAAGTTTTCCATATATCACTTGTGTTTAGAATGTGTATAGAGAAAGTAAAGGTGTAAAAAGACTAGTACTGTTTCAAAAGTAATGAGATTCTGTACAGGTTATAAACGAGAAAAATAAATAGACAAATGCTCTAAATAATTCTTAGAAAAAGTAATTGTCTTAATTATTTCTCACTGTAGTATCTTCAGTCCGTTGAGTGCATCACATCTATTGTCATCAAATATTCAATTAATGTGATGATTGTTATAGTAATGTGAATTAAACGCAGCTGAACCAAGTTGCACATTGATTATCTGAGATGAGAAAATCTCGCTGGATGAGTATCATTTTCACCATAAAAGCTGTTCGAAGATGAAAAACCGTTTTGACTATTACACGAAGATCCGTTTGTAGTATAAGAATTTCTTCGTCTTGTACTCAATCTAGAAAGAAAATACTATAAGTATAATAACGGAACATTATGCCAAATTCACTGCGGTGATACAATGTACGTGGCAGAGCGTTCAGAAGTTGTGAAGACGATTTTTCTTTTAGGAAAATTAAAGGTAAATAGCGAAATATTTTTCTCCAGTCACAGGATCATTCATAGAATTTTCTACTTTTATCTACTCTGACACGCCGGTATTATACGTGAGTGCGAGTAATTAGGAACGAATCGATGTTAAATCCTTGTTGCTCTATAGGTCAACAAATATGAATTTCTAATAAACAGAGAAAAGGAGTCAAAGATACGAAAAATGTAGCAATTATATGATAAATCTAAAGAAATAAATCCTTCAAGTTGTGGAGTTCGCTCGGCATCCGGTCTTCAAGTTTCTTTACATTTCAAAAACTGTGGGGATGTTTCCACTGATCATACTGTTCCGCCACTTCTGAATGCAATCAGATAGGAGGGAAAGTGTCACACTCCCATTTAGCATTATTCAATCCACCAGATGTATCGTTCATAACGAGTGAATGTCTCATTTTGTTTACGTTCATTCTTCTTTCTACTTCATTACTTGACCATAAAATAACTCCTGATATGACGTCAATTTCTTTTGTTTCGACAGTGATAATGATAGCCCTAATTACGACGCACTCTCACATAAAACTATACTTTTATCAATAGCTAGTTCTACTTACTGTCGTATTTGTTGATAAACTATCGTCAATTGATCAGTTATTTGCATAATTTTCATCAATATAGCACTTCGCCGTTCATTCATTTCTAGCTTGAATGAAACATCTTTTGAATGATCACTCAATGCTTGTATGAGTTCATTTTCTAATTGTCTAATGCGACATTCAATAAATGGAGCTTGTTGTTCCCGATGAGTTGCTTTCAACGCACGTAATTGTTTACTCTTTTCTCGAATAATGTACAATCTAAGTAAAAATAAACGTTTCCTTTATCTAAGTTTTCTATTTCTAATTAAATCAATACGCACCCCGGTGCCTTTACTTTTATATCATGATTTCCATATTCTGTTGTTTCCAATTCATTTAAAGCTTGTTTCAACCATTCTAAATGTCTTTCTAATTGTTCACGATGTTGATATAATGGCACAACTGGAGATGGTTGTTGATATAACTAAAATCACTACACATGATAGAAAACAAACATCAATGTCGTGAAGTGAGTCTTCCTCTTACCTCACCTTGTCCGATCAAAGGCGTGCTAGCCGCGTCAGTTACAGACGACGGAACAGTTCTTATAGAAGACAGATTAACATGTTGATGATGGTGATCTTGTTGTTGTGGCAGTAACAGCTATAAAAAATCAAAAACAAAAGTGCTTTGTAATTTAACGCCGTCATCATCTATCCAAGAATTTTAGCAAAATATGAATGTATTGTTCAATCTAGAACATCCTTATCTTACTTGGTGTATGAAATGCTTTTGATGTCCAACAGCACACAATGAACATCCTTCTAATGGTAAAATATTATTTTTCAAAATATCTGGTAGTGGTTGTGAAGGACGAAATGAACAAGGAACAATATGATATGAAATATGAACTGGTAATGATGAAGTAGAAGGTGGCTGCGAAAAACGATACAAACTGATTGGAGAATCGGATAAGGCCGTACTCTGTTGTTGTTCCTGCTCATGATTGGATAATGACGACGTTCTCGTGGAAGAAGATCGATGATCACTATCCGACCATTTTTTAGATTGTATTTGTTTCAGCTCTAATCGAAGTTGTACAACACGTTCTTCTGCTTTAACGAGTTCCTCACGTAAATTATCGAAATCGTATTGTTGTTGAACTATTTCATTCTGCATTGAAGTTGCTGTTCAGATAAAAAACAATTATGATTCATAAGAATGATGTACTATTCTAGTATTTACGCTTTGGAGTTGATTCTGTTGATGATTGCTCAGATTTTAGTGGTTGAGTCGATTTATACTGAAAAGGTTCCAATGGTGCTGAATAGTTAAAATTATCAGATGAGTTCTAAATAACATTCTAAAATTCGTTACTAACTATGAAACTAGTGATTTTCATGCAAGTTTACCTGAGAACTATCAGCAGTGGCTTCGAGATACTGCTTTATCATTGCAGATCTTTTATTTTCGAGTGTTTTATCGTCTTTTTTAGAAGTTGAAATCATGTTTTTTTTAGATAATCTAAAATAAATGATACATTGCCGTATGCATTAGTGCCTTTATCAGATTAAACATCAATTGAAAACATTGAGAAATCACAAAAAAATGTATAACTGAAAAGCTAAAATGTGTTGCTCAGTCTTCATCCCTGCATAAATCCATTCAAAGATTTCGGAGCATTGTCACAAAGCGCGGAATACACAACAGACACTTTTTCACTGATTGGTAGATCTTGAGAGATCTTGGTTATGTGATATTTATTCATTCGTGTCCTGAGATCTCTAATTTGGTGAACCCCTTGAAGGTAGATAGTAGTTATGTTTTGAAAATATGACTTAGTTATAGAAGTTTATTTCTCTATACATTTGCTCAACATTAATAGGTGAGAAGAGTCTTTCATTAACTTTTACTAAAAAAAGAGTATCATTATTTATTATTATAGTAAAACATCTTCGTCGTAGTCACCTTCGAGACTTTTCAGAAATCGTCATAATACGGAGATGCTCACTTTAAGAGGATTCATTTTCAGCAAAAAAGCTGTTGTAGGACAATAATAAAATGTTCAGAATAAACAGGTGTTCACTTTAGAGACGAGCCTACATACAAAGATTTCAGCGTATTAAATATATCCGAGAAACACATCACACTGCACAATCCGACAGAAATTTCTTGTTCAAATTTTTGACAAGTGGCAATACTTTTTGCAGTAACTCTTCACGAGTATTTAAATATTGGCTAATCAAAGCATGATAAAACTAATTTTTTTTAATAAATCGATATATAGAAGATACATGTAAACAACAACAGCTATATTAGCATGCTTCATAATTTTCTATTTAAAAAGACTTTAATCAAACATATTAAATCAACTCTTTATAACAAGCACTTCGAAAAAGAAACACAACTGTGATGCCCATCGTGAAAAAATTTTTAAACTAATTTGATCAGACTCCAAAAGAGTGCCAAAAGAGAAGTGTGCCAAAAGAGAAGAGGCATATTCGATTCTTTTGCGTTCTTGTATGTTTTCAAATATGGCATATTTTCTGTTCTCAATTGCAGCAGCTCTGTTCAAATTCATGGCATTTGTCCGGTGCCGGCAACGCAAAATTTCAGCAGTTCTTTTTTAGATATTTATAAATGGTTGGATGGAGCACATCGAGCTGAGTAAGAAACACTGGCTTTTAATTTTTAAAAAACTTTTTAACGAAGAAAAGTTGAAAAAATTCGAAGAATCTAAAATTTCTAAAAATCCTTCCGTTTCAAAACAATTCATCATCATCAACAGCAACCTATCAGGTCCTTTTTGCGAAGGGATGATGCCGACGTCTTTTCCTTGATTAGAAACGCTATTAAAAGAGCTTTCAAAATATGAAGCACCATTTTCTTTTGTGTCCTGTTGCCGAACAAACTCGTTTTTTCTGAATTAATGGCAAGAAATATGGAAATAAACTCATATTTTGACAGAGTCGAGAAATTTTGGATAGTCTGAACTTTTTACAGAAAGAGTCCAAAACGTCCATACTGAATAGATCGTTGACTTTAATCTCGACCAAGCGTCATTCTCATATCCAGTTTTTAATGCTGAATCTGAAAAAAGCACTTCTAAAAAGCTGGGAGAACGAAAACGACGAAAGTCTGAATTGTTTTGAAACGAAATGGTTTTCCGAAATTTTAGATTTGTCGAATTTTTTCAATTTTTCTTACTTAGAAAATTAAAAGCTAGCTCTTCTTACTCAGCTCGATGTGCTCTATCCAACCATTTATAAATATCTAAAAAAGAACTGCTGAAATTTTGCGTTGCCGGCACCGTACAAATGCTATGAATTTGAACGAAGCTGCTGCAATTGAGAACAAAAAATATGCCATATTTGAAAGCATACAGGAACACGATTAAGCTACGTTAACAGCAAACGGTCTGACCAGGGATCCCAGATCTTCTGATTTTGGCAGAAAAATTCTGAATTTTGGAACTTTTTCTGCTTTGTTTCTGTATTGATTTTCTGCTTTTAGACTTTTATTTTCTGATTTTTTTACTTTTGATCTGGTATCCCTGGATCTGACTATGAGTGAATCGTTGTTGTAATCAGAGTAGAAAGACAAAAGTTTGCGTTGCGTTTTGGCCTTGCTCTAGCTTTTGCATCCGATGTATCTAAAACCATTTTGACCCAAACAGTCTGTAGACTGTACTGCCAAAAAACTACGCTTTTAAACGTCGCAACCCTCCGTGGTCCGACATTTTAAACGTTAGTGTCTTCACACTTTTTCCAAACATTGCGGTTTGAACTCAAGTAATTTCGATATTCCACGTTTTAAACGTTTAGTCCGAACACGACGTTTTGGCTTCCAAAATTAAAATTATTTAATGAAATACAAAATAAGTGGTCAATTAAGGCGATACAGCTCCATACGACGACATGGGCCGTAATGCATCAGTATAGACGTTTGAAAATTGAAAAATTATTTTGTTATTATTACATTTCTCTCAAATTTTTCAAGATTAATAAATATTCGAAACAAGAGGCATTATTTATATCTGTTAATGCAGTTAGAACTGAGCAATTTCACTAAAAATAACGTTCGCTTAGCTAACTTTAAAAACCTCTTTGTGATGTAGTGCGTTTTCGGATGGCTTTCGCAGCTGTAGGAAACTTTAACTCATTTGAGGAAGCAACCATCCAAAGAAAAGCATGTTTTGAAAGTCATCTAAACAAATCCAGACGTTATGAACGACAGAGTTAAGAGCACTGACATTCAAAACATCGGAATGATTTCTAATCGATTATTAGCTATGATGGCTCATAATTTGACACTTTAATCGTCTGGATTTTGTACTCTTACGACCAAAACGTTAATTTTTATCATGCAAATGTAAGAATCCAACGTTACAGACGTCGAACTTTGAATAAGATATTTAGAGCTAACTTTTTCTTAGTGTCGCGAAAAGAAGTTTCTTATTTCGTGTACTTTTGTTGCGTTAGAAAAGCGCCGTTGATTGAATCAAAATCTTACAGAAATTCATTAAGTGAAAATTTTCAATCTCTTTCTGTTTTGTGGATTCTTGCTACCGTTACTGGGATATCTGCAAAAACAGCGTCTGTATGCCATAGGATAGTAGATATCCCAGTAATAGTAACTAGAATCCACAAAACAGAAAGATTTGAAAATTTTCACTTATAGCTGAATTCCCTTAAGACTTTCATCCAATCAACTGCATTTTTCCTACACAAGAAGAATGCATAAAATAATAAGACATTTTTTTCACTAGTCCGCATATTAGACCAAAATTTGACGCATCCAAAAACGGCCGACATTGATTACTCACTCAAATTAATGACAATTGATTTGTGAAAATGGCGCTAGGTTAACCTTGGAGAAAATTCGCACATTGACCAATTAAATGTGAGAGAAACAAAAAATTCTATTGACCTTGAATATACCAAACAATAACACCGCTTAAGTGCGACCTCTATTTCCATATTTTTAAGATTACTCGTCTTAAGAAGAGGCTTAATGCGAGAAAATAAAGTTATTGAAAAGTAGAGTTATTCATTTTTTTTGATGCTTATCCTCTTTTGAAATTTTTCATAAATTACGTACAAAATGGATCGCTAGAGGATCAAATATTATGGAGCCTAAATGAACATTAAAGTGGTACCGCAATGACGTAGTGCTAGATTATCTGGATCATTCACCTTTGTCCATTAAATCAGATCAGTTGTGCTTCCCGTTCGTATGTAGCATTATCAGCATAGGAAAATAATTACCGAACTATAGTGAGTGTATGATCGCTTTTTTATTTAAAAATTATTGGGATGAGTGTATTATATGGATAGCGATGATTGTATGATTTTGTAAAACAATTAAGTGCCTTTCTTTGTTCGTCCTTATATAGCTTATGTACTGTATGTAGGTGTTCTAAAGAATATTTTGGTCAGTTTAGTTATGGAAAAGATGCTCTATTTCTGGGATTTTGTTAGGAGGTATTTTGAAGAAAGAAGTTTTGATTTGTTATTTAACTATCTTTGTGTATTCTGAGATAATCTCTTTCTCTGAACTCTCATTGCGGAAAACACCAGTAAGTTTCTTATTGTTTGGATCGAACGCTATAGATTCCTGATTGGAATTCTGCTTCAGTTACAAAAGCGAGGTATAGCTTCACTTCTAGTTCCGCTTGTAATTCTTCTTAGTATGTTGAAAGATGGCTGACCCTACAAAGAAATATTTTATCGGCACTGGTTCTGCACGGATGCGCATCGGTGCCGAATAATTTCTTTTCTGGGCACTGATGCGCATCGGTGCCAGAAAGAATGTAAAAATCTCGCACCAGTGCCGAAGTTTTGTTTTGTCAATTTCTGTCTATATTAACACCACAGTATACTTTTAATATTTCGAATGTCTTTCTGATTTCATCTTTTCCTTCTCATAAGAGAAGTACCAGGCAATGCCTCATGGTTTTGGCATGTCAATGTGGCACTGATCAGTGTCGCATTCTAATACAAAAATTCAGCATAAACAACTATAATAAAAAACTAATTAAATTGATTAAATAAATTTCAGTGGGGCATCGATGTGGTACTGATTTTTGCCAGTGCGGCACCCATGGGCATCGGGGTCGTATCATGAAAAAGCTTAAGTCTAAGTTTAGGACCGACTTAAACCGTATCACGAAAAAGACTTACGTTGGCGATTTGTTTACTTTTTAAAAGTCATTGACAACAGTGACAAACTTCGGATAAAAACCCGCAAAATAACGAAATATTTATTCTCTAATCCTTAGAATGTCGTTTTCGTCGAATCGTATCGTTAAATGCCTGATCTATTCAAAAAATGCGCCAATGACTCAAGTTCGACTTAAGTTTTCGGTCTTAACTTTAAGACTACATTTCCCATGACTTAAGTTACCCTTTCACTTAAGTTTTTTTGTGATACAACCCCCTGATGTTTATCAGTGCGGCACTTTTTTGGCAGAAATATATCGGCACTGGTGCCCACTGGAATTTTTTTTATAGGCGAAGTATTTTCATGTTCTCTAGAGAAAAATATTCGCACTTATCTTGACATAAATTCTGATCAAAGTTACCCGTTAGCCCGAATTTTTTAAGTGTGAGGAGCCGAAAAGGTCTCGTATGTTTATACTCTTGATCTTCATTATTTTGTAGAGTAACCTATAGTGTAAATTGGAATATCAAGAATTCTTGCACTTAACTCATACTACATAGTTCTTCTCTCGATTTTAGATTTATCAACTACAGATATACACATTAAGTCTCAATCTCTGCGTCTCTCAGTAAATTTTCTTGCAATTCATGCAGTCGGTTGGCGATACAGAACAACAGTTGACAGCTACTGATCCTTTAAGCAGTAGTAATTCATCAACAAAACATCACAATTCTGATGCGCCGGATAGTACCAGCACTAATGGAGAAGAAAACAAGGAAACGAAACGAGTTAATAGAGAAACAAGTGATGATGAAAAGTCTCAAAAAATACCGCCGACAACAACATCACAGGTTGAAACGCCATTAGATAATAATACCAGTGAAGCTAAGAATGGAACATCGGCTAGTAATGATTCTGATCAACAAGGTACTAACACCAGTCAAACAGCAACTGATTCTAAACTAAAAACGGTCACTGAAGAAGATAACACTACATCAGATAAACGAAATACTGTTGAAAGTGATCCGCCCAAACAAGAACAACCATCATCAACTTCGTCATCTGCTGTGGAAATGAAAACAAGTGATAGTGATAAAGCAACAACAAATAATGAATCAGAAACAAAAAGTTCAAAGGCTGAAAATGAAGATGTAGAAAAAAAGCAAGCTACTGATGAAAAGACTCAAGTGTCTGACACAAATGAGGTTACAAGTTCATTGGTTCTCAACTTTAGCGGTGAAACAAAAAACGCTGCAGCCACTGAAGAGCAGAACGAGGCAACATCAAAAGACACAGAACAAACAAAAAATAAAGTAAGTTGTTGGTAATTAAACTAACCAGAAATGAATCGTAGGTGGGAAAGGGCTTGCGATCGATTATCTCTATCATGAAAAGGAATATTTGAGAGTATCATTTTGTCTTCTTTAAAAGTCATATTTTAATGTGTTACAGTGGCTTAGTTCTCTCAGTACCTTCTATTTTTGAAATGTTTAGGCTCTATTTGTAATGTACAATCCTTTTGAACTTTTCTATTACTGATGATCAGCATCTTTTTCATTTTAGGAAAGCAATAATACTCGTGGTAGTGGTCGTCAACCAAGTCGAAGAAAACCAGCAGCATCTTCATCGGCTGAAACTGCCGTATCAACAAGCGATACAAAAGCTCAGGAAGATACAACAAAACTAACGACAACAAATGAAGAATCATCATCGCCTCCAAAACGTTCGCGTCAAGCGAAAACAATTGCAAAAAATGCTATTACGGCAGCTGAAAACACAAATTCAACATCAGGTAAGCATATCTTGTTAGAAACAATGCTGTTTTTGATGATACTTCAGCTAAGCTAGGATATCCCTACAAAAAAAATTCCAGTGCGGCACTGGTAAAAATCAGTGCGGCACTGGTAAAAATCAGTGCGGCACTACCGGTGCGCATGGGATGCCACCGGTCACTGGCACTGGTTGGCACCGGTGCGCACCCGTGCCCAGCAAGTGCTGATTGGTACCGGTGCCGATATATTTCTGCTGAAAGAGTGCCGCACTGGTAAAAATCAGTGCCGCACTAGCAAAAATCGGTGCCGCACTGATAATTTATTTAATCAATTTAATTAGTTCTTTATTATAGTTGTTTATGCTGAATTTTGTGTTAGAGTGCGGCACTGATCAGTACCACATCGACATGCCAAAACCATGCGGCATTGCCTCGGCACTTCTCTTATGAGAAGGAAAAAATGAAATCAGAAAGACATTCGAAATATTAGAAGTAGACCGTAGCGTTAATATAGATAGAAATTGACAAAACAAAATGGTGATTGAAAACAAAATTTCGGCATCGGTGCGAGATTTTTACATTCTTTCTGGCACCGATGCGCATCGGTGCCCAGAAAAAATAATTATTCGGCACCGGTGCGCATCGGTGTCCGGAAAAAATAATTATTCGGCACCGGTGCGCACCCGTGCACAACCAGTGCCGATAAAATATTTTTTTGTAGGGATCGCTAAACTATCCACATATTCTGTGGTTAGAAATCGAACGAGCAAACGATATAATAGCAACACAGTATAACGACAGGACCCCGCTCGATACAACAGTGCAATAAACTAACAGTTTATAAGTTAAGAACCAGACATCTATGTTATACTTTGCTGCGTAAATCTGAATCTGTCAAAAGTAAATTGTTAGTTTTTGTTCGATTTTTTTACAATGATGAGATGCACTCTCCTTCATAATTTTGACAAAAAAGTATTTGTCTGATTATTTTTAGGTAGTAGTAATAATGAAGATGATCCACTTGATCTAACCGATCATGATGTTGTTATTTATCAAAGTGAAGATGAAGAGGAGGACGATTATAATCAGAAGAAAAAGTCATCCAAATCAAAACATTGGAAAACATCTTCAACAACACCAAGTGCTTCGAGTACAAATACTACTTCACGTACAAAGAAACGTCGTGCATCGTCTACCAAACGTAAATCTCCAACGAATGCTAAAAAATCTCGACGTTTATCTCCGTCAAAACAACCAAAAACGACGATCGATGCTAATGTTGATGAGTCGACACCACCAATCTCCCCACCAAAAAAAGCAGGCAACGCTCGTATATCAGTATCAAAACAATTGAAAGTAACATCCTTAAATGATTCGCCTGCAACAAAAAGTAACGATGGAGCATCCGGTAGCGGCGGTGAATATTTACGAAAATTAAGACCAAGAAAATGATGAAGAACATGCAACGTCAATAATCAGGAACATAATCTTTTATCTCTTTAGTGGTTTTTGATTGTTTATGTAATAGACTATCAGTCTATTTTAAACTTTGTATATGTTAATTTTATTACTTTTGTTTAGTTTTGCTTTTCTTTTCTTTTTGTTTTCTTTTGACAAACAAAAACACACATTAGAGCTAATCTTTATGTAAAAATATGTATATGTATAATCAGTCAATTGTTTGACTTTGAAAAGTATTCATCATATCTGTTTATATTCATATAAGCGAGTGGATTTATTCATTTTTTTGTTCTTCTTTTGTTTTGGTGAAACAAGATGAAAATGAAATTTTATTGGAAAAACAATTTATAAAACTCTTTTAGTCTATCGGATTCATAAAGCTTTTTTTGTCTTTTATTTGTTGTTGTCGTTCTTGTTGATTAGTTGTGAGTCTGTGTTGTATGTTTAACTAGATAGACGCTTTAGATAGACTTAATTACTTGTGCAGTTTCTAAGGTAATGATGTTTTTAGCTATCGATGGAGAACAAAGAAATAATGTTAACAGGAAAAGAAACATACACAAGTTTAGTGTTTATTGGTCTTTTTTCATTTTATTTGTTTATCTTTTCGTTGATTTTGTTATTCTTTTATTTTGTGTTTATATTTCATTCATCTTGTATGACACTATATCATGTACTCATTTTTTCTTGTTCTGTACCGTATATCATGCATACCCGATTGTATCTTCATTATAAGTCATAGAATATATACTATATATCGATATTGATTTCAAATTGAAGAATGAACTTTTTCTGAAACAAACGTTTTTTCTTTTCCGTACGTAGAAAACAATCACTTGCTGGAATAACGTTGATTCATGATCGTTGGTTAATACATGGTTTGCTTACATTATTATTTTAATTTTGCTTGTACATAAAATTTCAAACATGATAAATATCTATCTTTGTTTTCTACAAGTAACAAAATACATAACCATAATTTTGTGGCGATGAAGGAATTATTATACAGAGAATGATAGAGGGTATAGTATTTCTGATGAGGTATAGATAAATCCTGAGTCTGTTTTTCACAACGTATTAAAGAAAAGGAAATAAGTTACGGTTCTTTTCCGCTAGTCGTCAAAAATAGCTGTCATTTGACGGCTAACAGAACTTTTGAAAAGATAACATATAAAATAAAAATTCTTAAAAGAAAAGAATAAAAACGAACTAGCTTTGAAAAAATTGATCAATCAAATTTCTTCTTTTCTGTTTTATATGTGTGATGGCGGCCATTTTTGACGGGAAAAATTGACGGCTAGCGGAAAATAACCATAAGTTGCAATTTATATTATACAGGAACATCGAGTTATATAAATTTTTATAGGGTAAAAAATTTCTTATCAACATGCCATGTAAAACACGTCAGTTGATTATTCTTAATTAGCTGAGGAGAAGAGATTCGTTCAGGTATTTTCTACGAATAGGTCCTTATGTAATTTACTGTTTAATGCGATCACTTTTACTTTTACTTTTTTTTAATACTAACTGGAACATCTGCATGTTATTCTTGTCAGAAAAATACCCTTGAGAATAATTAAATGATTATAATTATGAGTCACTGTTTGTGTATGAACAAGTTAAATGAAGTTAATTGAATATATGTTTAACTAGGTATGAATTTTTTGGAGTTGTCATGTGTTTTTATATTTATATTCTAGATTATGTCAGTAATACATATATCAAAAGAGTCCGATGTTATCATTCTTGATCAATTTAAATTTTTGAGTAATATCTATGAAAACACAATTGATACGCATCAAAAAAAAAATATTAGAAAAAGTTTAAACTGGTCAAAAGATTTGTTTAATGTTGAAAAACCATTTCGAACAACTATTGAAAATAAAAATAAAGTATGTCAATATGATATAGTAGTTATACCTACTACTATTCTGGTTGAAATTTAGAAACGAAAATTAGACGAGTTCTTAGCCGACGACAATTTATCTATTGCAAAGGTAAAGTAGAATGCACCACAAATATATTATAAATAGATTTTTATCTTTCTTTTAGTTAAATCATGCTGTGGTTGAATGTAAAAATGTATTATCAAGTGAACCGTCATTTTCCGAGTCACAAAGTGAACATTCTTTTGATACCATCCCATTTGCCATGATCGCTACACAACAAAAAAAATGTTTAAACCCGATCAACCGAATCACATTAAATGGTTAGTTGATAATCCGAAATAATATCATTTTAAACAACTTAATTGTTTTTCTGTTTGTATTAGATTATTTTCTTAATGCATCCAAGCTTGGTTTGAAACCAAATATTCTTTATTCACATGAGTATCTACATCCATGTCAAATAAATACGATCTTTGGTGATATTGTTTTACCAGCACAATGTCGATTTCTTTGGTCAGATTTTGAAAATATCAATATATTATTAGATGGTATGAGAACGGACATGTAAGGTTCTTTCGTGTATGTTTGAAAAACTTGTACAAATTATACTTGTTATCTTCTTTATTCTTAAAGATCAATACAAATACTCATTCGTTACTGTTGATCCTCCATGGTCTAATAAAAGTGTTCGACGAAAAAAACCGTAAGTGTTTTTTATTTCTAATCGTAGAAATTCCGTTTGACGATATCCATATTGAGCGAAAGATAACCTGAAATCTAAACGATTGGACAAAAGTGGCTGTACTATGTATAACAAATTCTTTTTAGTTACAATTGGTCTGATCTTGAACAGATAAAAGCTTTACCAATTGAATTACTTACAAATAACAACGATTCATCTTCATCACTTATTTGTTGTTGGTCTACAAATTGTTCACGAATAGAAGACTACATTAAAAATGATTTGTTTCCAAAATGGAAATGTCTATATTTATCGACGTGGCATTGGTTAAAGGTAATTGGAATATACATTAGTCTCTCACATCCTTGTAATTATCTATAATTTCTTTCGTATTAAGGTTACGCGATCTGGCGATCCTGTTCTTGATTTCACGTCAAAACATAAAAAATCTTATGAAACATTGATCATCGGTTTTACCGGTGTGGATGATGAAAGATTTAGTAGTTTAAAAAATTCGCATAAAATTATTTGTAGTATTCCAGCATTAGTACACTCTTGTAAACCACCATTATATGGTAAGACAAACTTGTTAGTCGTCTTATTATATGCAATAATCTTTTCTGTATTTAAGATTTATTCAAAACTCTCATCTCATTTCCGAATGAGAATGAACGATGTTTGGAATTATATGCAAGAAATCTTTTACCAAACTTTACATCATGGGGTAATGAGGTAAATTTAATTTATTTGTAGTCTACTAGTGACTAGTGTTTGAATAAAACTCTTTTCTTTGTTTAAAGGTGTTAAAACATCAATCGATGGATTTATTTCAAGAAACCGTTTAAAAATTCATTTCTATATTATTTTCTGTGTATTTTTTCTCAATAAATCATAGAGCCAGTTTTTGTACATATTTGTTTGTCTGATGAAATATGGTATTTGTGAGTTTCTCTGTTTTACTCTTAAATGAGACTGTGACCTGTGGCGCTTAATCTGTTAGTTGTGCATGTTGACTGCAAGAACATGACAACATTTCAACAAGCTTATTAGTGATATGATCAAAATAAGGTGCTTTAACGTCTTGTGTAAATATTACTTTTCCACTTATTCTGCTAATGTATCATGTCTTTATTATTCTAGACAAAAAAAGTTTCGATTAAACTTTATTACTTATTTTCACTCTATAATGTCTACTCAACAAAAAACGTATGCAACAGTGCGTCCACCAACAACAATTAGTTCCCTTTCTGATTTATTAAAAACAGAAAATATATTTTTATTCGTTCCAAATATCATAGGCAATGATTCCATCAGCGATAAATCTTATTCGTTTTTAATATTTATTTCTATTTTAGGTTATGTTCGAGTGTTTCTTTCAATCGTATCATTTTATTTTATGCCGACACATCCTAAAATAACGTTAATATGTTATCTGACAAGTCAATTTCTTGATGCTCTGGATGGTCATGCAGCTCGTGCTTTAGGACAAAGTAATTTTTTTAAAAAGCTGATTATTTTTCTATTTTTCTGCTAATATATCTACTTAGGTACGAAATTTGGTGCCATGTTTGATATGCTAACTGATCGCTGTTCAACCATGTGTTTATGTTTTGTATTGACCATGTTTTATCCAAAATGGGCATTATTTTTTCAATTATGGGCTGCGATAGATGTTGCAAGCCATTGGCTTCATTTGCATGTAGCAACAATGAAAGGCTCTGAAAGTCATAAAAAGATCGATCTGTCGGGAAATCCAATTCTTCGTCTCTATTATACATCTAGAGTAAGAAAACAACCTTGTATTCATTATTAATATCTAAAGATATTTTCTCTAATTGTAGAAGGTCCTGTTTGTAATGTGTGCCGGCAATGAACTTTGGTTTTCAATGTTGTATATGTTACATTTTACAGAAGGACCGGCATGTAAGTTAAACAGTATCATATAAAATTTAAAAATGACTAACGTTATCTTTCTATAGTGATTCGCGTTGGTTTATATACCGTTGGTTTATTTCGTTCAATCTTATATTTGACGACACCTATTATGATTAGTAAACAAATCATCAGTTTAATACACTTATATACGGCATCATTAGACATGGCAACAATTGATGAAGATGAACGAGCTAAAGCAAAAATGCGCTAATTTACTATAATTTATCTAATACGAAACAAACCGGTTTAACGTACAGACGTTCACAGTAGAAAGATCAAGATATTTATTTTTCTTGCTATCTCTCCTATTTTTATGTCATATTTGTATATTAACCTCTTTTGCTTGTACTGGTCATTTTGTACATATTATACTTTCTATTAACCGTCTCAGAGGCAGGATCGTAATCTGAGAGAAACTTGCGTATTAGAGTAGAAAGATATCTGTTAGTCGTTTGCCCTGTTAGTTTGTTCTGTATTGATTATTTGATTATAATAACGTTGAGTAAAACAATTAGCTGGGCTTTTCGTTGTCTCTAGTAATACCGCATTTATTCTCTCTTTGTAAAGTTATTTATTTCTTCTATCTGCTGGCGGATAAACTGTCAAAGTTTCGGTATACTTTTTTATCTATTTTATGTTGTACATTTATGGTTGTTTTTGATCCTCGTATAGTCGCTTATCAACTCCACTTGATTCTTGTTGTTGTGCATGTTTTGTAAACATTTAGCGTTATTAGTAATAAAAGTGTTGTTTACCCACAAACTATTCTCAGTTGACCGTACGTTCGACGTATAATATCAAGAGAAGAGTCGCGTGAATGCTATTCTTCTTAGATATTGAGCGTATTTTCACTAGTGTAAATATTGTGTGAGAATAGATGAGGTGATATTAAAAATTTTCGCCTTTTTCCAGTAAAATAATTTATTTTTCAAAGAAAAAATCGAGCAGATAGAGAAGTTTTTTGCGCTCATCTTTTATGTGGGGCAAATTATTGGAGGCATCAAGGAGCAGGCTTAACCCATCTACTCAATGATTTAATTTGCCCTTATACATTTTTGTATTGCAGGAACTTCGACAGCTTTTGAAAGTATTAACGTACGGCCAACCGTAGTAAAAGTAGTATGATCATTTGTTGTTTGAGACCATTATGTTGGAAAATTGATATTCAATAGTTTTTTGCATATTATGTTCTGAATTTCTTTTTCAATTTGTAATGTCTGATCTGTAGATGTTTTTATTGATATGTTCTTCGGCTGGCCGGATCGAATCGCTTAAACAACAACTTCGGAAAGCAATTGTGAATCGTAGATTTCACATAAGTGCAGTATTTTATGACAAAAAGAAAGATGTTTCAACACGAGATCCATCGGCATCATCATATAAGCATACACTAAATATGCCAGTGACAAAATTTTCTAGTACGATGAAAAATCAAATCAAAAGTCAAGCTGCTCTTAGGCAGGTTTGTTCTCTTAACTGCTAGTCGTTCGAATCGTTGCGAACAAACTAAAATACACAATAATGTATACAATTATCAAACTGAAAATAGTCACTCTTTTCTGAAATACTAACAGCTACAATTTGTTAAAAAAGTGGCATTTCTTTTATTCAAATTGGTTGTGGATGAATCCAATTTAAACATGCTGTTTCTTCTTTTAAACGTAGAAATTTGATACGAATCGTCTGTGGGAATGGCAAGCATCGCAAAAGAATCGTCCACTATTTATTTTACATGATGGACCGCCATATGCTAATGGTCCACTACATATGGGACATTTTCTAAACAAAGTAAGATTAAGATTGTGTGAACAGAAATATGAAACGTATTAAATTGACTATAGTTGTTGGATTTCTTATAGATTCAAAAAGATGTTATATGTCGATATAAATTACTGAACGGTTACAAAATTGATTTTCGTCCTGGATGGGATTGCCATGGTTTACCAATAGAATTGAAGGCATTAACAGCTAATAAAACATCACAAACTGAAAATGATCCATTAACTGTTAGAAAATTAGGCAAATTATTGTTTACCAAATTCAACAATAGACAACACAGTGTTTTGTTTTTTTCTAGCTCGTCAATTTGCGACGGATGCAATAGAGTTACAAAAGAAAGAATTCCAGTCATGGTCAATTTTAGCTGATTGGAATAATTGTTATAAAACATTCGATAAAGAATACATTATTGACGAAATTAAATTATTTTGGAAACTATACGAAAAAGTACGACGTGTTGTCATTGGATGAGTAGTTTTATTTGTAATTTTATAAGTCGATTAGACTTTGGTAACTATCAGAGCTTCGGATGCACTCAAAATTTTGAGTTCAGCCCGTGAACTCTAAAAAAGTAGTCCAGGCCAGTTTACCCGATTGAGTAAATAGTCCTATGAATTTAACAAACATTTGTTAGTCTTCTGTCTAGAGTGTAATAACGATAATTTTCATTGATGAGTATCAAGTAAAATTGTTTGTATCTTCTTAAACTAGTACACACAAAAAGCCTTAAAATCGATTCATGAGCAAACACATCTCTGCTGCTCTATAAAAACTAACTAGTCCATGGTTTCAGCAAGTCTGAGTCCAGTCCTCACCATACGGAGTTTTGGTAACTAAATTTTTTATGTTGTTGAAATATTACCAAACGTATTGAGTTGAAGTTAAATCTCTGTTTGAATCAAATTGGTAATTCTTTTTTCTATTTTTAACAGTTGTCTGAAACAAATATCATGTTGATACATTAACTGATGAATGATCTGAAAGAAAGCCTATACTTCTCGTCAAGTTTACTACATTTATTACTTTTTCTCTTACATTTGTTACTAATTTCTAGGGATTTCTATATCGTCAATATAAACCTGTTTACTGGTCTCCAAGTGTTCAGTCAGCATTAGCTGAATCAGAACTTGAATACAATGATAAACATAAAAGGTTCGTTACAAAACATAATAAATATTTTAAATTATTATTGTATTATTTTTCTGTTAGTATGGCAATTTATGTCAGATTTCGAGTACAAGATTCCATAGTTAGTCTGGTATCTGGGAGTACTGGTAATAAATTCGAATATACTTAACTGTTATTAAAAATTTGATATTGTAAACTAAATTTTATTTAAGATTTATCTAATTTACCACTTTATGTACTTATTTGGACAACAACTCCTTGGTCACTTATTGCAAATGAAGCGGTAGCTGTGAACGAAAAACTTCAGTAAGATAATAATTTATTTTCAATCAAACTAGTTAAGTTTTCTTCTTTCATTTAGATATGCATTTTTGAAAACAGTTGATAATGATATTTATATAGTCTCTGAATCCCTTGTTGAAAATGTTAAAAAACTCGAACCATTTATAGACAGTAAAGTGATTGGCTATTGTACAGGTAAATAACTGAACATATTTACAATAGTTTTCGACAATACGTCAGATTGTAAAGAGAAAATAAATATTGATTTTCTTTTTATGAAAAGCTATGTTTACAATAAATAAACACAATATACTTTCCTTCTTTGTTAGCTATTTATTTATTTTATTTTCTACTAAAGGTTCTAAATTGGCTGATATTCATTATCAGCATCCAATTTATTCTGATTCTATTCATCATCGTATAGTAACAAATGATCATGTTTCATCAAGTATTGGAACTGGTCTCGTACATATAGCTCCAGCACATGGTCCAGATGATTTTAAATTATCAATAAAATACAATTTAAAGTGTGTAAATGCTGTTGATAAGAATGGTTATCTCGATTGTCCATCAATTAAATCTTTACATGGCAAAAATGCATTTTATATTGACGATGGTATAAAATCAATAATTAATTATTTAGATAAAAATGTTATTTATCAAAGTGAATATATTCATTCTTATCCGTATGATTGGCGAACAAAACAGCCAGTAATTATTTTGGGTAGTAAACAATGGTTTATTGATACTAACCAATTACGTGATAATGCAAAAGAGTATTTAAAAGATCATGTTGATGTTTATCCTGAGGGTGCTGGAAACAGTTTTCAAGCAATGACATCTCAACGACCATATTGGTGTATATCGAGACAACGCCACTGGGGTGTACCAATACCAGTATTTTATAAGAAAAATAATATGGATGAAATAATTGTTAATCAAGAAATAATTGATCATTTAATTAAACAAATAGATAAAACAAATTCAATTGATATATGGTGGTCAAAAGATATTAAAGATATTCTACCAGATGAAATGCATAATCAAGAAAATAATTTAGTCCGAGGAAATGATATATTTGATGTTTGGTTTGATAGTGGATCATCTTTTTACTCAATACTCAAAGGTAAGAAGATATACAACAAAATTTTTTATCAAATAGTTGTATTACATAGAGATTTTTGATCTAAAACTTTTTCAGAGATTATCTACTCTTAGTAAAGTTATTTTTGTCTTGTTCATCAAAACTTTTCTAATCCTAGTTAAATTTTTAGATTCTTATTATCAAGCTGATTTATATACCGAAGGACATGACCAATTTAATGGTTGGTTTTTATCATCATTATTATTAACAATAGCTGTTCAATCAACTTCACCATTTAAAACGTTATTTGTACATGGATTTGTTGTTGATAAACAAAGTCAAAAAATGTCAAAATCAATTGGTAATGTAACATCACCATCAGATGTGATCTATGGAAATGCACCATCGAAAAAACAGAATTCAGAAAATAATTATTTTCTTGAAAATGGTCTTGATGTTTGTCGTGAATGGGTTACAAGAGAAAGTTATAAGCCAACTTGTAAAGCAAGCGTCGAAGATTTTAACAATGCACATAAACGTGTATTTGATGTAAGTGAAAAAAATGATTAAAAAAGCTAATAGATAGTCTTTAACTTATTCCCATTTAGATTCGAAATATTTTTAGATTTTTAATTGGTAATTTATATGATTACAATCATTCACATCATGAAGTATCTGTAAAAGATTTGACAACAGTTGACAGGTATATGGCATATCGTTTATCACAAATAATTAAAAAGGTATGCATAGAATAATTTTCACTTTTTGTTTTTCATCTGTTGATCGTCTGAAATAGATTAGAATTAATAGATATAGAATTGAAACGTTTTTTTGAATTTTATTTCTTCATGAATTTTTTACATGGATATATTTATTAATTTTAATAGCACATTTAATAACTAATATAATGCAACTGTGTAGAATTTCATTCTTTTTAACTTTATTTGTTAAGAATCAAATATTTTGATCTTTACGATCATTGTCAATGATAGAAAACTGTACACAAGAATGAAAGTAACAGAACTATAGATAGACACAAACAAACATTTTCATTTTACTTGACAGAACAAGACAAGAACTGAATATATATATATTTTCTTTTTTAAAAAAACACGCACGCATGTTTGTAAAAAATTGACAATGACCGTAAAGGTCAAAATATTTGATTCTTAACAAATAAAGTTAAAAAGAATGAAATTCTACACAGCTGCATTATTAGTTATTAAATTATTGAAAAAATCGTTGCCTACTTCTATTAATATTGTTTAATAGCACATTCTTTTTGTTTCAGTATCACAATGATTTTGATCAATACAGTTTTTATCGTTCATTGATTATATTAGAAGATTTTATGTACAGTGAAGTATCTGGATTTTATTGTTCCATAACAAAAGATCGGTAAGTAAAGCTAAGTGAGATGATATATATATATATATATATCGTTAAAACTGTATCTTATCACTAAGACTTTATTGTTATCCATCTGACTCATATTTACGACGTTCAACTCAAACTGTGTTTTATTATTTACTCAAATGTCTCAATGAACGTTTGGCACCCATTATGCCATTTCTAGCACAAGAAATTCACAATGAATTAAAGACACTAGGTATGTAAATATTTACAGACATGACACAATAAATGTCACTTATTAGTATTTGTTCAATAACTTTTTTATTTTGAATCGTGCAGATTTAAACATTTTTTAAAAGATTCGTCATTTCATTGTCTACAAAAAAACAAATCGATCATTTTTCAATATACTGTAAAAATGAAAAAATATCTTCTGTCACATCCAAATAGAGACAGCTCAATTTCTCTCTCTCACATTTTTCTTTCTCATTTCCTTTTCTAGTAAATGTTGATTCAGCTACCTTTTGTGCTAGCAAAGTGATGATACACACATGATGATTGTTTTTTCGTTGTGTTTGAGTTCGACAATTGTGAAAACCGAAGTTTTGCAATATTTTCCCTGTATTTTTTAATTTTTACAGTAGATAGAAAAATATTCGATTTGTTTTTTTGTAGACAATGAAATGGCGAACCTTTAAAAAAAATGTTTAAGTCCGGACGATCAAAAATAAAAAAGTTATTTAAAAAATACTAAGTGTATCATTTATTCTGCCACACTCATTAGAATAGAGTTGTAAAGTTAATTTTTGATCGTGAATTACTAACTTTCAATAATTTACACACTTTGTTGTATATTCGTTTCTTTACGAATAACTTATGAAACTGTATCGTATTGAAGTTCATTATTCGGTATATTTTTACAATTATTTTGAAGAGGGGGCTACAGAACATTATGATGTGTTTCACAATCAATTTACGAATATTGATGAAAAGTTTTCGACATTATCATCCGAAATAAAATTACTTATGACGTCTATATTGAGCGTACGTGATACATTTAATAGTCTAACAGAAGGAAAACGACCAGCTATGTTCGACTGTTTTCTATATATGGATGAACAAAATCAGACACATGTATGAAATTTTATAAAATTGAATTTGTTTTTTGTATATGCATTGTTTGGTACCATTTTTTCAGTTTGATCACATAAAAAAGTTTCTTATACCACAATCTTCGAATCTGGTATGAATACTTTGCTTTTCTTATGTATTCTCTACATTTCTTTCTCTTAACAGTCATCGTCGTATGAGTATTGGGAACCTCTCGAAGAAATTCTTCAATGTTCACATGTCTATACTCAATCACTATCTGAAATAGATGTAACCAAAGAAACAATGTCAAGTGTTCATATTACTCCTGGTAAGAAAATTTCTAGACAATGTCATTTATTCATTTATTTCTTTTTGTTAATGGCTCATATTATGTGTTTAAGATAATCCCTTCAGTTATGTTTTGAAAATTAAACGAACATCTTTACATTCATGTCCACGATGTCGTTTGTTTAAATCTAGTCATGACAATGAATTATGTTCCCGGTGTCTACAAACGTTAGAGTTAAATCATACAAATCAACAAAAATTAAAAGTTGATAGAAGTTGATTGAAGTAGACTACAAAGTTAGCATACGTAATAAGTCAGACAAAAATGTTGAAGTACAGAAATAAATATTCAATGACGATTATCTCCGCCACTCTATCTAAGTTTAAATTTGAAATGTTGAAAAGTATATATAAATGTGTCGTCTAATAACTATGTTATGCTAACTTGTTTATGACTATAGAATGATGTTGAACCATCATTCTATAGTAGAGGGTTGGTAAAACCGCTGAAAAATCTTTGAGACGAAAAAGTTGCATTCATCATCAGCATTTGTAGACTATTTCTATCCTCACGTGCCTTTTTATATGTTTGTGCTTTGTCACTAATTTCAAATAAACTGTTTGTAGGCAATTATACGGGATTTTAAATAAAAGTCTATTGACTTAACATTTTCTTTTGTCTCCGTTGTACGAAATGTTTTTATTGTTGAAACTGTATTTGAAAGTTGAAACTAAGAGTGAGCATAATTCATATATTTTTTATATGTTCTGTCTTATTTTGGAAAAATATTTAAAGTATGTTACTATATTGTCAGGTATATATAATTAGTGTGCTATTGAATATCAATATCATCTGATTTTGAAGAATATGTTGTATGATATAACATTTGATTTCAGATGTGAAGTTTCGCATGGTTACTTTTGAAATTTACTTTGAACGTTTTCGTTATCATCAGCTGTTAAATCAAGCAAAGTGCCCCTCGAATTACGACTCAACTACGGCTAATCAGTTAATTATTCACATTTATTTACTCGGTTGTTATCTGTTATAAACATCATGATATGACTAATCTATTGAACAATATTGAAATTCATCATTGGAAAAACTAAAGAATGATCTTAATGAAGGTGTAGTTCCACTTAAAAGTGAAGTGAAAGATATACCGTAACACACTGATTGTGTATTTATACTGTCACTAACGTGTTTGTTATCATCAGAGCTGGAGAATATACCCGTTTGCTACGATGACCGAAAAAACGGGCTTTTAGAGATAGTCTTGGCAAAAAATTTCGATCGATACTTTTTCGAATCAAAATTTATTGTATTATACATGGTTCTATGCAGCTCGTCGAGCTGATTCCAAATACCATCTTATTTTTCAATGCAAACGTTCCTGGACTGGGAAAACTGAATTTTATCTGAAAAACCAAGGATTTTTGGAAAACCTATAACTCGACTTTGGCAAATATATACATTTTTGTGCATTCAACATAGTGCAGAACATGCTGTCGAACATTTTGATGTGATTTTGAGTCAGGTTAGACCACTTTCAGAAACTAATTGCAGTGTTTTTGCAAGTGTCTTTTTTAGGAACACTGTCTGTTCCGAAAATAATCTTTTTCTTTTAGATCATTACATTTAGATGAACACCCTTTTTATGGATAGATAGCAAGAAGTGTCTAGATTTTGAATATGTAATAATTTTAAACTCAAACCGATTTCATCCATTAAAAAATTGTTTTTTCTCAGAGGTCGCTAGTATTTAGCCTCTTTTTTTATGATACATTCTTCCCTAAAATTTACCACTTGAAGCAAAAAATTTTATACCATTAAATAGCCCGTTCATCGAAGTATATTTAACATTATTGTGAATTTTAAAAAAGGCGCCAAAATTTTTCGCCAAATGTCCACATGGCTGCCCACTGTATAGCTGTCCTTCAGATATGTTTATCCTTCAGTATTTCCAAAACCAACGCTACATTTACATTAGAAAGATGCAAAAAATTAGAAATCGTTAGTTGTCTTCGATAAATCGATACAGCAGAATCCTTACATACTGTCCATACGAATGGGAAGATCATGATCTGAAGGTGCTCTCTCACTACAGTGACAGATTCAATACGAACAACAGTTGAAAAATGTACTGGATCATGCCATTGTGGGAAATAGTGACTTATTACAATAAAGAAATTAATGATGATAATCAAGCAGAAATATACAAAGATATTCAAATAATTGTTTAAATAATTGTTTAATAAATGTTTTCAGTTTTTAAATAAAGATTGTTAACTTGTAAGTGAGCAGTGTTTTCGTTACAAAATTGTCGACGGGGGGGGAGTTTAGGGACTTACTCCCAGTTTTTGGAACAAAATTCTATGTGACAAAAGTGCTCACCAAAAAAAAAGTTATGAACAAAAATTTCTCTCGTTTAGCGCTTTTTCTAACTTCTTTTTACTTTTGTTTAACTTATTTACTCCGGACCTTTGATCTACTTCAAGATTGCTAACTCCGAGTTCGAGTTACTCGGAGTAAGTGATTTCAGAGTAAGTGATTTTGTAGTAACTTACTCCGAAATCACTTACCCGGAGACCACTTACTCCGAGTTTCAAACGAGGGCGGGGAATTCCCCCCCCTAATCGAAAACTCTGTAAGTGAGACCCGTCCAAAATATGATTGTCAAACCAAATAAAAAATTCAATGAAATTTCCAATGGATGAATAATATGTTAGATAAAAAACTGGACAGAAATTGAATACTATTAGACGGTCAAGTGTTTATGCGGGATGTTATGTATAATTAAACATTGAAAGGTTACAATAAACGAAATATCAAAAGTCTGACGGAGTAAATTATAAATCAAAATTTTTCCTATGAAACGCAGGTTCAACTTAGTTCAAATAATCGTTGTTTTTTAGTAGTTGTATCACTTCATTAGCATTTATTATATAACCATTATATTTATAATAATGTACATAAGCACATTATAGAGAAAAACAAAAAAAGTTCAATTAGTAGTTGTCTTTGAGGCGATATTCGATCATTATCGCAAAAATAGAAAGTAGACAACACCTGTAAAAACAAGTGATAGATGATAATGTAAGAATGCAGCACTGCCATGTTTAGGATCATCGGCTATTGCCGATTTGCCTTTGTGTTCTGGTTGATGCTGGAATGATTCAATACCATTATTAACCATGTGATGAATTGAATTATTCGTAACTGTTTCTGTCGAATAACCACCGATAATGATACTTTGATGAGTGAGAAATGGAAATCCAACACCATACTCACGGGATATGAATGAATTTTTAACTTTTTCTATAAAATAAAGATAAACGTTCATATATTCAGGAATATTCTACCTGATCGTCTTACCGTTGCAAGATGCTGATAAAATACCACATTTATCAACAACAGAATTCGGTTCATATTTCAGAGTATAATAATACAGTGTAAGACTTTCATCCGCTGAATCGCAATATTGTTCAAATATATTAGCTGTTGTGTCATTTCTCAGTTCAATTTCTTCCATGTCCATGGGAGAATAAACATTGAAAAATTTCTGAATAAAAACGATATATTGTTTTCCAACATCCAAATATTGACATCCATTATGATTCGGTGCTGAACCTATAGACAATATGGTAAAAAATTGTGCAACATTTTGGAATATGTTTTGCTCAATTTATCAGTCTTACCTGCTTGAGTGATATTGATTTTTCTTTCGTTTATTTCCCCTTTCAACACACAGTCAACTTGGAATGTGACATTAAATAAATGTTGATCTGTTGGATAAATCGATTTACTTGTGACAGTACCATAAGCAACGATTGACGAATCGCCATACTTCAGTGGAAATGAACCTTGACTTTGAATATTTGGAGAAAGACATCTTTCGTCGCCAAACACAGTTGACATCAACACCATACATAATGTGCTAACAAATATGGGTAGTACCATTATTGAAAATAAAAATCTAACCAACGAAAGAAAACTTTTAAAATAAACAGGGATCATTAGCAAGTTTGCACATTATGTATATTTACAAATGGTATAGACTAAAATTTATTCACACCTTCATTTTTATAATACTCATTCGAAAAGATCGAGTGTAAAACAGTTGTATATTAGATGATTAATTACCTACGTATCACGGATTTATCTTGCTTTCGAATTGAATTGATTCTGAATGTGTATAAGAAATCCTTGGTGCAATGTATATATATACATATATATATACATATATATATACGTATATGTATAGGTATACTGTCCATCCATCTGCTTTGTTATTTTTTCAACCAGTTGGACACAATGGTAACAGTCTTTGTGAAAGAACTAAGAATAATAACAGTGTATGGACGTGTCGGTCGATAACATATAAAATATTTCTTCTTCAGACGAATGTATAGAACGATCGAACAAAAAATTATTACAGTGATGTTTTTTTGTCGGGTTAAAAAGTCTGTTCAAAGTAATTGTTGGTTAATACCGTTACTTAACTTTTGTTGATGCCAGTCGTATAAAACTGCGCTGAGAATTTAGTTACAGTTGAGATTCTTCATATTTTAAAATTATTATTCAGTTTTGATAATAGAATGAAAGTCATTAAGTTGTAAGAAAAGGATATTTTCGAGCAGTTTTTCGTTTGTCAACTGGCAGCTCGATAGGTTCTTTTAAAAAATTTATTTGATTTAATTTGAACAACTGTTAATTACATAGCCATGACCGATTTTGCATTTGTTGTCATTAGTTGTTTAATATCAGCGTACTTCATAATACAAGGGAAAATACGATAGAAATTACTGATAACAACAATAATGGAAGTAATCGTAACTCTAAGGAACATGCATAATGATTAACCCGGTACCTCTCCCTTTGTCACTGGAGTGACCTTTGCAGATCGATTGCAAAAAATTAAGGAAGCATGAAATTCAAAAATTTTAAAAACATTTTTTGTAGTGAACTTCATGAGCTATCGATAGGTAAAAAGAATATTTTATTTCATCGCTTTGTCTCCGAAATAGGAACCTTACAGTATTGATAATTTTGAAAAATTTAATTTTTTAAAACAAAATTTTCTCTACCCACAGACAATAGAGATTTCGAGGACGTGTTGTGAAATTTATGTCAACAAAAATGTCTACTTGTGAGCTGGTCGTTTTTCAAAAGTTTCACACTAGCTTGGCGAATACGAGACGGTAAGGCACAAGATGGACCCTGGAGCCACCATTGAGGGGAATGACGAACTTCGTGAATATATTCTTTGTAAATCTTATCGTATGAGAAGTTGAAATAATATTTATCATGGATTGAATGTTTTCAATAGTTATTTTATTACTTAATGAAAAACAGGTGTTTTTTTGTAAAAATGTGTACCAAAAATGCATGTGTTGTTTTAAAATAGTTTTCATGTATTAAGCTTTTCATATGAATGAAATAAAATGAAATAGATTTTGCTTTTGTCCACTCAATACCGTCATAAAAGAGAGTGATAAAAAGTGGGATTTTTCAAGTCGTTCAAGCACCCCCCCCTTTACCCCATTGTCACTGGAGTAACCAACTACCCTGCACAAAGGACAGAGCGCTCGGTCGATCTGCCCATACCATTGGCATATTGGGGGACCAGTACTCTATTTGTGTGGTTATTTTATCAGTGCCTCTTCCGAAACCGCTACCCCCCGTCAAGGATTAAACAGATCAGCAAGAGTCAGAGTTCTTATCAAGGTCGATGACTTGAAATGGAAATTAAAGATTTATTGTAGCATGTGTTTAGATTTATCCTATTGCGGTCGACGTATCCAACACTGAACCAAACACCTAGAAGGTTTTTATCTAGAGTTCCTTCCAGAAGAAAAAGGTTTTGTTTTTCGTATTCATAAAGATGTTTAGTTGGTTAGCCTATTCCTTGGGAAACTCCTGGGTATAGCAAATTTGTTGGGGGGAAAACGGATTTTCCGTCAGTTGATCAGATTTTCAAGAAAAAGTCATTCCCTTGCTTATATTTAGATAGCTAAGTATACCTTGAAAAATTGTATTAGTACAATTAGTTAGCTAGTTAGCTTTTTAAACTTGATGCACATGAAAATTTCAAGGTGCAATCAAGACTTGAAATACAATTCTTTTCGTTATTTTCATGAGCATGGATAGATAGTTCAAAGCGTTCTCTTCTAAACGAGAGTCAAGCGAGACCTGCATCTTTCATAGTTTAAGATTAGTACCATATTATACTATGTCTTGACATGAATATCTGATGACTTTTGGGAATCTCAAAAAACATAGTTTTTCGGTCTACTGCACTTTACTTCCGTTGTTCCAGGTTTTGGATAACGTTCACCATATCGAAATATAAACGATTTTCTATCCAATTAGATCTTCAATAAATTACGTCCTTTGATTAAAATTATCAACACCGAATAACAATAACAACATTAAAAACATAAATATTTAACATATAAATAAAACAACATTTTTTTCACGTTTTCTCATTTAAACCTTTCATTTTTAACATTAAATCTTCTATTGAAATATCGTCATCTCTGGTCAATGATGCAGCTGATGTTTCATCGGAATCAAACTGATGAACAAGCTTTTTTTCTCTATTTTTTGTGTATGCATATTTTACTTGATCAACGCTGCCGCTAACAACGTCAATTAGCTGTGAGTGAGAGGAATCTTCATCATTATCATTGGTTGGGGAACTGTCAGCTACCAATTCAATACCTAAACATTATAAAATATAATAACGTTAGCATAGAAAAAAAAGAATTTTATACTCACCCCAATCATTATTTTCATGAATAACATCTGGTACAGGTTGATGAACGACTTGGACAGGTTCAATATGTTTCAACTAAAAATTATAAAAATTAACGCTTTACAATCAACAGAACCATTGACATTTATTTTCTTCGATAGTAAGACTTCTACTATTTCAAAATGATGATTTTTAAAGAAATTTTTCGAATTCAAATCTTGAAAGATATACTCACAAAAGACAACCAATATCGATTTAGAATTTTCACTGCTTACTTGATGTTCGATTTGCCTTTTTCTGCAATAACTATCATCGCATTCATCATTTGGTCTCAAAGTCATTGTTGGAAAATGATCTTCAAGAGCATTATAACCAACATAATTCGATACACGACCAAATTTAAGTAAATATCTGAAAATAAATGACGACAATATGATAGAACAAGATTAGTTGATTCATTTATTTTCTCATACTTAAGCACGTTTTGAACCAGTAAACCAGCGATAATACCCATCGTTGTCGGAAGAGAGGCTGCACACACACCCTCACGTTTCAGCGTTCTCTCATCAATATTGTCTGCAACAACCAACGGAGGAGCACACTACAAAAGATATGTATAGTATGCAATAGAATCCGCGATGACAAATCCATATTAAAGTTAAAATTTTTGTTTTAATATCCAAATTTTTATGGAATTTTCATATACGTACTGCAAAGCAAGCCGTTTCACCAGGTATTAACAACTGTATGTGACCACTGACGGCGTTTTCACTAACACCAGATTCCATCCATATCTGATCAAGTTCATTACAAGCCTAAAAAAGGAGCAAAATTCAACATACTATATAAGATTTATAAATACAACATCAAATAAGCACATCCATACAGTATTTATTGTCATTCTTGCTCCGAAATTATCCACACAACTAAGTACAAGATCAACATTTCTGCCATCTTTACTTCCTGTCCTATAAGTAGTAATACAAACAGTAATTATCTAATTCCTTTGATTTATTTGGGTAAAAGAACTCACCGTATTTTATCCATAAATAATGGAAAATTATCTATTTTTGTTATATCCATATTGTATGTTTCAATTATAACATCTGGATTAATAAATCTAAATAGAATAATATCAGAATGATAAGAAGTCACATATATTATTTGAAAAAATCCTCTCATAAATTGCAGTGATTCTCATAAGAAAATTTTCATCTTCTTCAGCCTCATGCAAAAAACGTACTTTATTTCTTTGTAGAGCTGTATCTGATTCTACAGTTATTTGTCTAGAATTTTTAAATTGCATTACCTCAACGTTTCTGCTGCTGCTTCGACTTTACTTAATCCAGCCTGATGTGGTTGATAAAATAATCGATTCATATTAGCCAATTCAACTTTATCGTAGTCATATAACAACAACTAAATAAGAATGGCTAAGTCATACATGCACAAGGTCGAAATTGCTTATTTCTTACTTTCCCACATCCACATCTTGTTAACATTTCTGCTGCCACACTTCCAATACCTCCCACACCCACAATTAGAACAGAATATTGTCGAATACGCTAATTAAAAAAAAATGGGGACAACCGATGATCTTTGACTATTGATTATTTCAGTCGTTTCTTACTTCATAATCTGCAACGATGCCCATTCTCTGAAGTGCCATTAAACGACTGTAGGGATTTGTATCAACAACTTCAGCCGACATTTTATTTATACGAGCACGTGGTTCCATATTTGGCTGATGTGACATGGTTGTACACTGTTTCTGATGTTCTCTGAAGACAAAAAGATAAATGTAGAAACTAGATGAACAACACATAAGTATTAGACAGCTGAATGTTTGATCGTTAGAAAGTTTAAAAGACTTATTAGTATAAATCATCAGTTAGTTCCCACCCAGAAACGCTACTTATTTAACTATCGTCTAAAATCAATAAGTCGGATGTGAAACTTCGGAAAAAGGGAAGAAGTAGTAATATGTACTTTATTTTATTCATGAAGAGTGGGAGTCATCAGAGGTCTTAACCTATAATAATAATGACTCGAGCCAAACAACAACAGAAGAAACTATCAAAAAAAAAAGAAAAAAAAAAGAAAAACGTAAATTAGTGTACGAAACAGGGAGATAAGAAGAAGAAAAAAAGGAATAATAAAAAAAACAAAAAACAAAATAAAGAGTAGCAGCACTGTGATTGTTGTTAACTGTAAATATGGCTACGTTCAACTATAAAGATGATGAGGTAGTTATTTTAAATGACAATAAAGAAGGAGAACGAATGACTGACTCCTGAAGATTATTCCAGTCAATGACAGTTGCATGAAAAAAGGAAGAAGAAATTGTTTGTGGAGAAAAACCATTTACCGGAGGTGGAATACGGACATATGTCGAATGCTGAAGAAGAAGAATAAGGACGATGAACATGATAAAAAAAGGAAAGAGGACTAAGACGATGATAAATCTTGAAAAACTGTACCAGCCGAAAATACTGACGACGAAGTGGCGGATTTGGAAGAGACAGTTGAGACACAAGTGAAGCTGAAGAACAATGATAGTCAAAATTGCGAGAGATAACACGAGAAGCAAGTTTGATCACAGAATCAAAAACAGTAAGAGAAAAAGAACTATCCTACAAGGTAGAACAACAGTCTAGTAGAAAGAGTAGAAGAAAGATAAATTCGACGCTGAATCTCTAATGCAGCTAGTCCGAAAACACGACACAGGGCATCCAGCTTGTACCGACAAGTAAGATCAATGTCACTGGTATGTTCATTTGACCTAAGATCGTGCGAAACAAAAACGCAAGACAACGAAGAGAAGAAACAACAGAAAGAGAAACATTATTTAGATACAGTTGATTGTAAACAAAAGGAAAAAGATCACAAGAAAAAGGAAGCCAAGAACATTTAGACACATTGAAAGACATGAGATTAGTAGAAGACCAATTTGAAACAGAATTTATACAGGTTTGAATATGAGCGAAATTAAAGGGATCCGAAGAAGAAAGGGGTACACAATTAAAAAGACAGATTTCCAGTTTTTTGGAAGAGAAAGAGGCAAGTCATTAATAAAAATAAGAAATAAAAGCGGCTCAAGTACACTGCTTTGAGAAACGCCAGAGAAGAAAAAGAGATAGAATCATTTACATGCGCACACTGTAGGCGATTGAAGAGGTTAGAAGACAAAAGAGAAAATAAACAATCACTCACACCACCCCGCGACCATTTTTCCAACGAAAAAGAATGAGGGACAGAGTCAAATGCTTTAGAAAATTCAAAAGACACACCCACATTCCAGAAATTAGAAATAGTTAAAGACAAAACATCTAGAGTTAAAGACAAGGCATCTAGAGTTGAATGTTTAGGATGAAAACCAAATTGTTTATTTACAAAGAAGTGTTTAGAGAGATGTGAAAAAAGAAAATTATAAATCAAAATGTTCAAACATTTTAGGAATAACAAGCAGAAGGGAAACAGGACGGTAGTTAGAAATATCGGCAAGAGCGCCTCTTTTATGAATATCGCACTATGTAACGATTTTTTATTTCATAAGCAATCCGTTCACAAATACATGAATAGAAAAAAATCATAAAAATGACACGTTGCTTAACGAAAATATGAATAATTTGAGATGTTGTTTTCAACGATACACATTTTAACTTAGATAGAATCTAGATCATCTCATTCAACTAAATTTGCGTATTCACTTAGTTTTTTTCTCGTATTATATTAGCGAAATTTAGTTAGATTTATTCTGCAGACTGGTTAACCAACGTTCATATCTATAAATTCATGTTGTCTTAATTTGCAAATATTTTCTAAAAGCTGAAAAAATCAATCAGACGTGCACCATATCAATTTCGGATGAGATTGGATGCGTATGTGAACGTGGTAGAGTGTGATACGATAGTAAAAAGAGCGCAAGATATTTTCTCTGAGCTCTCAAGCAGTTTTATGAAAAGCTGTAACACTGATTTCAATCGAATCTTTTTGCCATTCACCACAAACACAGACGTTTTGCTATAATTTATTATGATTTTTAAATATGATATGATGAATTGTCGTTTCTAAATATTTATTCTTTTTCTTTCTCTTAAATGCTGCTGACTGGTTCATATTACACAAATCAGAAAATGGTACGGTTTATTAGGGTAAATCGAAAAATCTAACAGTTACGAAATCTATAGCAAAATCACAGCGTTTTTTGGTATATCACATTTTTTCTGTTGACTTGTAGTATTGTCAGTTTATAGCACGAGCAGGGGATTTTAATCTTATTTTGTTTATCGCTACTACACTTTACTGTATCGTTTAGGTGTACGCTCAAATTTTAGCTTACAATGGCTCCGCTTAGAATTACAGAATAAATGAATTGCTGCTTTAACATTGAATCAAATGTTTTGGTGTTACCTTCTGCTATCACACTTTTCTTTTCGTGTTATGATGTCATATTTTTCTCATTTCATGGAACCGACTATGCACGTGGAGACTTGTTTTACTCGATACAAAAATACTTTTTAAGTATAATTCGAGTGTGAAAGAGCCAATAATTTTAATAAGATATATTTTGGTTTTATAACAGCGGCCATTACTATAAATTATTTTATTTCAATAAATTTAACATCAAGTTCGGTCTTACGTATTTTCAATTGTACTGATATATTTGTATTTGTATTGTACTGGTAGAAATAAAATAATTTATAGTAATGGCTGCTGTTATAAATCCCAAATATGACTTTTTAAGTAGCTTCAAGCAAATTGTTTTTCTTTTGTTCGACTCGATAGATAGACCACTTTCTTTGAAGTAGGTGCCATCTCCAATCATGTTATAGTACCTAAGGAAGAGAGGCGCCGTCGAATTTAATAAAATCGGCTGTCTATTATGATCGTTCGACGCATCATACAGCATTTTGCATGGAGTGGTAAGAGAGCGGAATAGTATGAAAGTTCGTTATAGATCAGGGTTCCGGCATCATCTTTTTTTAGGATGGGACTCACAATATTCTGAGATTTTGCGCTTTCTTGAGAGGAAGGGATAAGCTATTTTTCTCCGAAGAGTATTAATGATCGCGAGTTTCAAGGCAATGAAAGCGAACTTAAAGAAAAGACGGAAAAACCATGTTTTTTTCCGTCTTTTATCTATCTGTAGATAGATTTTGCTTTTTGATATAGGATTTTCGAACAAGAATTTCTGTTTTCAAGCAATGTTCTAATTTAAACCTTGGTAGGGCAGCCTTTGAATCAGTCTTTTCAAACTCCTATAACTATGACGCCAACGTATGATATATCACTAGAAATGTTTTTTTTAATTCTCTACAAACTGCTTATATTTTCTGCTTTGCTCTTCATTCCACAGACAAAGAATCATAATAGACTCTCCAGGAAACAGTAGCGTCTACATAATAAAATATTTTTTCCTCATCTCTTCCTCAAGCTCCCTCGAATATAGCCACGATAGCAGAAAAAAAAACTGAGTAAAAAAAGATTTTGCATGTCAATTTTTGTACCTCAGTTACTACAGTTAGGATATTTATGTTACATTCAAATCAACTCCAATACTCACCAGTACGATCTCTTTATTCTTAGATAACTTGGTCACACGAGTTCGAGTGAGGTACCATTCGAATGTGTTTAAAATAATAACCTAATCCGTTATTGAAACGATGAGTCATCAGCGTCAGTCCACATACCAAGAGTTCTGTGCGCAATTACGCGAGTTTTTCGATTATTAGTTTGGTGTTCATATATCATCTTTTTGCTTTAAGATCAGAGACTATTCCGTCGAAGTTGAACATAATTTTCGTAGCTTCCAGCAATTTAAGTGAATGCCGATAATAAGTTTGTGCTTAGCTTTTAGCAGGGAAGCTTCCGCTGTCGTATTTTTTTGCGGTCTCTGAATTCGGCGAGATGCCGTCACTGCACTGACTCTACAAGTTACAGTCTCTTAAGGAACTTAATTTTAACCCTGACACGAACACCTGGGGTCCATCTGGACCCTAACGAATTTCAAATTAATGTTATATGCACATCATATTAGATCAAACCACGCCCTTCTTAGTATGCCTCAATGGAGAGTAGTAGAGTAAGCTGATAACATCAGTCGGTTGTTGTCATTCGTTGTTAATGTGATAAACGATGTCGAAGTACACGTGAACGCTTGTTGTCCATCGCTCGGACTCCATATCATAGCACTAAATTCGCTAATCTTTTCGTCTCTAATACATATTGGAGCTCTGGAGCATCTGCAGGAGACGTCACTGTAAGGTGAAATTTTCTTCTTTTGCATATAGTGATCTGTATTCTGTTTTCTTCTACTATCGGCGCAAAATACAACTGACCATTTTTTGAATAACTTTTGATGGGAGAAAAAAATTTTCAAAGCGAGTTTTTCAGAGAATCTTTCGAAAAGTAGCTTGGGCTTTCCAAAATCTACATAGGCGTGTATTGATTTCTTTTCATAGGCTGATAGCCCCGTGTGTTCTCTTCGAAATGGGAGTAAAGTGAGACCTTGATTTTCTGCGGTTCGCGCGTTGTATCGAATTTCCGAAGACTTCAAGAACTGGCACCCAGTAACTATTGCTGGTCTTAAAGACAGATGGACTATGGATAATCAACCATGCTGAGCCTGGTGGCAATATTTGTTTTCAGAGAAAGTTTTAAAAATCTACCGGAAAGCCAGTTTTACGAAAATTAGGGTTTTCAGGCTGTTTTCACGTAACATTAAAAAATTTACTACTCGCTCAAAAACATCAGAACGAGTTCAAACTTCAGAATGTAGTAAGTTGCAATAGCCCTTTGATTCGGATTGGTCGTATTCAGCTCAGTTTCTACTGCTTTGCTGTAATATCTGTACGCTTCATCATATTTGCCTTGATCGCTATAAATGCTTCCTAGATTGTTGTACGCAGTTGCTGCGAAAGTCCCCGTTTCAGGTGAGTATTCTAGCCTAATTTCAAGTGTTTTTTCAAAATATTCGATTACTTTCTCATACTGACTCAGTGCCTGGCAAGATAACACAATATCGTCCGTGACGGATGCTGCTGCCACTGCTAACTGCTGTTGTTGTGTGCTGTGTCGCTTTTTGATCTGTAAATGAAGATCTTTGATAAAGTACCGTAGCGAATAGAGTGTATCTATGTCCTGTTCTCTCAATGTCTTGTTTAATAGACGATAAAAAAAAGTATCGCGTGTATACCAGAAGATAGCATTGATTGCGTCATAATACTCTTTGAATTCATCGATAACATTTATATCTGCATCATTACCGCCACACTTTTGACGAAAATATTTAATAATATCTTCTTCTGTTGATTTAATGTCAATCAAAATGTCTCGCAAAAGTAAGGCATAAATGAACTCAGCTTCTTGGCGCTTGATTGTGTCCACGGCGGCTAAGACTAACTTCCATCTTGCTCGTCCCACCTGATACTATTGCAGCTACGATCTCGGAGCATCGACCACAGTGCTCCGTAGGGTTTACACTAATCTAGGACTATGCGCTCATTTATGTCACCTACCACCGTATTTACAGAGAAAACTCAGCTTCTTGGCGCCTGATTATGTCCCCGGCGGATTCTGATATTAAAAGCTGACTAATTGCGGTCGTGGCCAATAATGTAGAAAGTTCGTAGATGTGTGTCTGTGAAAGAATACTTAAATCCATATGACCAAGCCACAATCTTCGTTTTCTCTGTAAATACGGTGGTAGATGACATAAATGAGCGCATAGTTCTAGATTAGTGTAAACCCTACGGAGCACTGTGGTCAATGCCTCCGAGATCGTAGCTGCAATAGTGTCAGGTGGGGCGAGTAAGATGTAAGTTACTCTGCTGAGAATTAGTCAGTTTATAATATCAGGAACAGAACACTTCAGATACAAATGACTTCAGGTGGTTCCGACGATCATCCAGATTTTGCACCAGTTTATCGCAATTTAGGACTGGCATATTACTAAGGGGGAAATAGCGGACTCCGGAACCCCATGGACTCCTGAAGTCCAGAAGTCCAAGAGCAAAGTGTTCTTTTTTGGGAATCACTCCCCAAAAAAAGAACATTTTTTGGGGGGGGATTTTAAAAAAAAAAAAAAAATTTTTGGTTTGGCACTTGTGGACTTCTGGACTTCAGGAGTCCATGGGGTCCAGGAGTCCATGGGGGTCCAGGAGTCCGGTATTTCCCCCTTGCATATTATGCACAAACTAAATTTCAAAATACGTTAGAAATGTTCTGGAAATCTGGGTAAAAGTTCTTTCGGCTAACCACATGACGCTTGCATCGTTGTGCGCTGACATTTCGCTAGTCTACGACTCGCTTGGCGAATATGCGAAAGCACTTGAGTATTTAAAGAAATCTCGTGAGACAGCCCAGGATTCTGGTTCAGAAATCTGCCCTGGTTTTGCAGCCAAATACAATCAACTTGGTGCTGTATATTATAAACAAGGCAAAATCGAAGAGGTGCTAGAATTGTATGAGAAATCTCTAGAAATTCAATTAAAAGTCCTTCGTCCTGATCATCCTAACTTGCAGCATGTTACGGTAACATATCGCAAGTACACTCTACTCTAGGTGATTACGATAAGGCAATTGAATATTTAAACAAATCACTTGGAGTTCAACTCACTAATCTTCACCTAAGTCATCCATCCTTAGCTGTAACCTACAATAACTTTGGGCTCGCATATTATAACAAAGGACAACTGGAAATAACATTAGAATTCTATGGTAGATCTCTCGAGATCCAATTAAACGTTCTTTGTCCTGATCTTGCTACAACTTACAATAGCATTTCATTAGTTTATTGTGCCTTTCGTGACTATGGAAAAGCAACTGAGTATTTAAACAAGACGCTTCGAATCAAATTAAGTTCCCTTCCATCAGATCATCTAGAAGTAGAGACAACTTATTCTAACTTAGCAGCAGCTCTGTACGGCCAAGGTAACATGACAGAGGCCTTGCATTGTGTACAGAGAGTATATGATATTCATATCAAGATTTTTCCATTGGATCATCCTGAAGTTCTTCGCAATATAAATTGGATTGAGCGTATAGAAGAAGAACTAGTTTCAATGGAACAAAACCTCGACTAATGTGAAAAATTGGATGATATTTGGTGTTCAATATATATGGTATCACTGATATAGTTTGCACAACTTCTGCTATATTGAAGGAATGTTGGTGCCCCAAGACCGTAACGTTTCGAATATTTTTGTGAGCTATGATCTTTCTTTCTAGGCTTTCTAGACTTGTCACACAGTGAACAACAGAATTTTTTCTATTTCTACTGATTTCTACTCGAATGAGGTCAGAGAACAGCAAAAGTTTCATGTGTTAGACCATCTGACATAATGGCGTACATCAATACCTTGCATAGAGCAAGAAACTGGAGCGAGAAATAGATTTCGTCAAGGCAAAAAACGCATTTTTATGCATTGTCGTTTGCTAGTAAACATGTACTCACTGCAGGACTTTTCTTCAACAACACTACCTGGAACCTAATTTCTTTCCAATGAAACATGTTGGTGTTCATATGGTAAGCTATTATGAGAAGCGTTACTGCGTTCCTCGAAGTTATTTTAACCCTGACACGAACATCTTAAGGATACCCCCCCTCTTTTTGTACTCTCTTGGAAACTAGGGAAGCCGATGTCGAATCGGGTTCTAATTCATACCAGAGATGGAACATCGAAAAAGAAAATCGATGTATTTTTGTCCAGAATTTTCTGACGTGTTCTTCTATGGGTTTTCTGGAAAACTCCAATTTTCATTGGCACACATTACGGTCCCTCGAAAAAATGATCTGACCGAGCTCAAAATTTTACCACAGATACTTCAGACCCTATCTCAGGTTCTTTTTTTTCTTTTCGAAAAATACTCTTTTCTTCTCGATATATCCGAAAAATGCTGAAAATCCCATATAAGAAACCGGTTTTCCATTTTGAAAACCTTCTGACGCCGAAAGTTGAAGTCGAAAACGGTATTAGAAAAAAACGAATCTGAGATAGGGTCTGAAGTATCTGTAATAAAATTTTGAGCTCGATCGGACCATTTTTTCGAGGGGTCGTAATGTGTGCCTAAGAAAACTGGAGTTTTCCAGAAAACCCATAGAAGAACACGTCGGAAAATTCTGGGCAGAAATATTTCGATTTTCTTTTTCGATGTTCTGTCTCTGGTATAAATCAGAACCCGATCCGACATCGACTTTCCTAGTTTCCAAGAGGGTAAAAAGAGAGAGCAGAGGTACCGTTAATATTTGTCTATCAAACGTTATTTTGAAAAGAGTTTTCTGCATTATATTTTTTAATGGATAATTTTCAAAGAATGACCCTGTTTTTTGATTGATATTGTAGGAATTTTGTTGTTGAAATTTAAATTCCTCATTTGCACAATTCTATTTCAGATAGCAGTTTTTTATTTTATTGCATTGTTTGTCAATTGATGTCAACCGACATTTGAGCGACGCCGACATTTGAGTGACTCGACATTACTGCGAACAGGACTCGACTCTTCCACGAATTTTTCGTAGTACACATTTGGGTATTTTTGGCAGTGTGTTGTGGGAGGTGGGCAGTGTGAGAGTGAGTTCAAAATGTGGTTTCACGGAAAACATATTTTCATTATGCGAAACTGTACGGTTAATCGTCAATTGAATATTAATAACCAAAGTTGCATCCCGAAAAATTATTTAATCGAACAGGTCCATGTCTAGTGGCAATATTATTATGGACCAATCAAAGTAATTTCTTACTTCAATAAATTAATCTATCTTATTAAACCTTGTAATTCTTGCAACAAATCCATGATGACTTGAAATGTTGATAGTTTTTTTCTTCCATAAAAAAAGAGCCATAAAGGGCTGTTTATTTATCGGGCTTTATCGCTTTTTGTAATTTTCTATCCGGAAGGACGGGACTCAATAAGTCCTGGTATCTCTACTACAATCACTTCACTTTATTCTCGAAAAACGAGACCAACACATGAAAATTATAATTAATGTTTTATTCATATTTTAACACTCTACCATATATGAAAAAACAGAATCCGAGTTTCAATTCTATCAAATCTATTTTGAGATTACAACTGTAGTATATTCCCACATAAAAATGAATTAGATTTAAATTTATTTAGCGATATTTAACGTTTATTTTTACCATCACCATTTACATTGTCATTTTCCTTTTTCCTCGCCCAGGATTGCGTTTCACCTTTAGCCAAAAGAAGAAAAGCAAATCCTGATATAAAATAACAACAAGCATAAAGTATAAATGCTATTCGCCATTGAGCATTGGTTTTCTAAAAATGACAAAGAATGGCATTAAGTGGCATTAATGTCTGCCTCCTCTTTTCCCTTACATCTCGTGTTATATAACTGTTTAAATACGGAACACCAAATCCACCAATACTGGCTACAAACATAATTAATTTCATTATAATATGAAGTTATACATAAATAATTGAACTTACACACAGTGTTAACCAATCCAAATACAACTGCTGAATGAATACCAGAATAATCAGCAATATTAACGCCATGACCACTGGCATGCGCACACCCACTAATGTTGTAAAATGAAAATAATACTTTTTGAAAGGAGAAATATGTCTTTACTCATTCATACCTAAGTCCAACTCCAACTATCAACAGTCCAACGGCTAAATAACGACGCTGACAATCAAGTGATGATATTATAAGTAAACATATTACCACAGATATTGTTCCTAAACAGAAAAACAGAATAATCCTAACAACTCGTTAATTTTCCTTATAAGCGACAAAAGACGCCGATACTTCTAGTTCGTATTTGCTATATCTGTACAGGTCCGTCCGGTTTATACACAACTTTTATCCTGAAAGAGATCAAGATAAGATACAATGAGAGCCTACCATGGTTATTTATGGTATATTATCCTAGTGGAAATTGACCAATCAGGAAGTGCTCCATGATTTACTCTTCTTTTAGGTGGACTTAACTTTTTAATGAAGACCAAGAACATAAGACGAACATTTTTGTGCCCGTAATTACCAAACATCTGTGCCCGTTTATCAGTTTTTGTGCTCCTTCAGGGCACATAAAAATGTTTTTAGACCTTTGTGGCCGGAAAAAGGAACGTGTCCATCTATTTACTGATGTAGTACCACAATTACATAGAACAAGTTGTTTTTCAAACTCCGAAGTTGAATCAGTCAAAGATCATTTCGAATTTTGTATTGGTGCAGAAGACATCAATCGAATATACGAAAAAGAATTATTCCAAGAACGCAGGAGAATTCTTTGTTTGTTCTTTCAACATGAAAATTTAATCAAATGAATCGAACATAATCTTCTGCATATGACTTTACACAATATTTAAGACGAAAGCTTTTATGAGCTTGCACTTTATACATAAAATTCACCATGTTTATCCGTTTTTTTCCTCAGGAATGGTGGTGCAACCAAGCTATCTCGTTCACTTCAGGTCCAGTTAGAAAGTAAGCTCAAAACGAATACAGAGCAGTTTTATTTCTTTATCTTTCTTATGCAAAAAGTCCTCCTTTGGTTCATAGAAAGTGTGCTGATCTTTTTTATAAAAGTAAATACTTAGTATGGTCAGCAAACATACAGCAGGTTAGAAAATAGTGTGTTGGATATAACAGACAGTGATAACATATATAAAATATAAATTCTTAAGAGAAAAGTGTAAAAAAGAGTGTCGTTATACTTTTTCACGGAAATAGTACGAACAAATCAGAAAAAAGGATAAGCTTCAGCTATAATAATGCATTTCAAGAAAAAATGACTTTTTAACACTAAAGAAGTCTATTCTAATCAAATTCCGCTTTTACAGCGTCTTAACCATAGGCAGCGGAGCCTGTACCCTTGGGTAAGTTAGTTTCGCTAGATTGCTAGAATTTCCATGGACGAAAAAATTTTGAGCCTACCCTAGACCCCCAATTTGTTCCGCCGCCTATGTTCTTAAAGCATGTTTATTGCAAGCAGTTATAGTCTCTGGTCTCTTTTATTTCAGTGGTGATTTCGACTTTTTCGACTTTGACACGTCTTATGCCTCTTCACGATTTAATTAAGATTTTTGCAACTCGAATCTCCAACAGACAAGATCTTACGAACCTGGACAGTTCGTCTTATTTTTCATTCACATGTCAGGACTCTAAATTCTCTTCAATAACTCTAAATTCATTTGCTGGTGTGTGAAACTTGCCGAACGCTTTGGATTTAAAAACATAGTTTGAACTTGTTTATAGGAGATCTACTATATATTCAAATTTATGTCACAGATTTATGAGTATCGAGTGATTGAAAGACATTATTTTACGCTTAAATATCATGGAAATAGTGACAGGCTCTTGCTACTCTTTAGCGAGATCCAGATGATAAGGAAGGATTCAGCTCTTTTAAAGCAAGATTGGCACATTTACTCTATGTTTTTACTATAAATTATTATTCTTTTTTAAATTATTTTCAAACATATGGAGATACCGTACAACCATATATCACAATCACGATCGTTCCTCCACCACCAAAACATCTAAATGCCAAACAAGCAGAAAATTGGAGAAGAGCAAATAATAAATCTCGTTATAATGAAGAATTAAGAAATTCCATGGTTCCATTTGACCGTCCACCCTGGTCGTTTGATATTGTATTTGTCAATTATACCACTGCAGACGCAAGATTAACTTATTTGTTAGAAACCATAAAAAATGTTTATCGTCAACATCAACATCAAGATTCGAAACAATCAAATCAATTTGGTAAAACATTTTGGACCGTAATAAGGTGATCAAAGGATGGAGGAGTCCAGTGTTAGACTGAAATCCTTTCTTACATTTCAAATGTTTACACATCATCAAATTGATCGACCGGTTACAAATGTGCAGAATGATTATACGTTGTGGAATGAAGGAAGGGTCTCACCTTCTGGCAGAGATCAGAAGTTTGAATCAAATGGTGAAGCTCTCCAAATTCATGCATCAAATGATTCATCGTTTGACAAGGTAAGCCTTAAGACGACAATTTCACAATTTTTTAATCTTTATTTAGACAAGCAGTGGACTTTAAATTGTTGGAATGCTGGACTGGACAAAAATTTACAAACTTATATTGACATAGCACTGAACGGTCATAAAAACTTTTTTATTCATTAGCTTGCTATTATTGTTATATTTTGCCATATTTTTGTTATTACTGATTTATCGATCTCTCTCTCTCGCACTTCATTTTGATGTTACATTTTCGGATCGATGTTATACCCTTTTTCGGAGGGGAAGGGTGCGACGAACCTGGACAACTCCTCTTATTTTTCATTCACATGTCAGTGGACGTGATCATTTCTCTTTTTAATCTCTTTTGTGTCTTCTCATTCATATTTTGGGAATATAGTTCTTTATTCGTATATTTAATTAGACCACAGTGCATTATTTTTCTTATGTTTGTTTTCCATACAAATAGACAGATAGAACGATAGATATATTTTTCTCTCGCTATGTGACGTGGCATAGATTTCCATCTTTTTCTCTTATTTTGCTATATATTGTCTGTGTACAGTCATTTTAGTTAGTCCTATTCAGCGTTTTTGTGTGCTTATGTGTGTGTGTACGTGAGCGTGTGACAGTGATTTTTATTATCTTCATTTTTTCCATTTGTTGCACAATAAATTTTACACACTGGCACTTATTTCATTTAATTTGTCAGCCAGAGCTCAGGACCCGGAGATAGAGAGAGTATTCCTCACTTTAGCATTGCATGATATATGACACAAGGCAACCAGTATAGATGAAAAATGTCTATTTTTGGTGATTTAAAATTATGGTTTCTAACTCAATCATATACTATATTGTTTTTCTCGGCTGTTGTTTAATAAACAGTTCTATTTCCTTTTCGTTTTTTTGCGTAATTTCCCCTTATTCTTAGCTTTCACTCGCTGTTACAACTGAATGAGTTAAAACACCGTCCCGACAAGGCAGTTAAAATAAAGTTGGCTTGCCTTTATAAGTTGTTCGCATTAAACATCAAAAATTACTTATTCAAGCCTCTTTATCTATCAAAAATCCGTGAAACAAAGGAAACTTGAGGATCCTTATCTCAAAATCGGTTCATTAGCCAAACTTTATTGCGTCAAATTTTGCAGATTTTTGTACCAATTTTCAAGAAAAAAAGCAGGCATCTTAGGATATTCTCAACCAAAAAAGTCATTGTTTCACACGAGAGGAGTGACCAAACGGGTGATTTTCTTACATGAATTATACAACCCACCATGCTTTGATATTTCTCATAAGAGGTATCATCCACTACAATACTACTGAAAGCAAACCTTGTGAACACAATCGTCAATTTAGGAGTATCAGAAACTCTATCTTACCTATAGACTGAAACATCTTCCTTGTATTGGCACGTTTCAACCACTTTTTCTCAATTATATAATCAGCTAGTCGACTAATGATAAAAACGCTAATTGTTTGCGTTATATGTGGTAAAGCAGAGTAGATACCATTCTAAGAATATCGCATTTATGTAATCTAATTGTAAATTAGATTAATGCCACTTACTTCGTTGACTGGAAACAACAATATTTCATTCATATATTCAGGAACAACATTCCAGATTGCATAGCCACCACAATCGTAAAAAAACATTCCAATCATTGTTGCCCAAAATGCTTTTGAACGAAGTATCGATATCCAAGGAATTTTCTATAGAAAAATTAAATGTACAAGTCCAATCGTTTTTATACTTTGCTCATTAACTAATCTTTCATTTAATTATCTTAGAAAAAATCATTATTTGTTTTTACATCAGTACAAAGTGCTGCTGTCAAAACGGAGCACAAACATTATTGTATCGGATTCAATGAACTACCTCCACTGTGAAACACCTTTTTTAAATATACTTCAAGCTAGAGGTCTCAGGTTGGTTTTATTTTAAACTAGACAGTTAACTACGTGGACTGATGGGACCAGATTTTTTAATTTAGGTCTTCGTTCGTTTTCTAGCGATCCTTGACTTTCTAGAAAACTAAGGCCTAATTCAAACATCGGCGCCCATCAGTCCACGCAGTTAACTGTCTAGTTTAAAATAAAACCAATCCGAGATCTCCAGCTTGAAGTATATTTAAAAATGTGTCCCACACTGGGTATGTTCGAACGTGTTTTGAGAGAAAACGCTGTGCATTGATTGATCTATCTTAGGACCTGTAGGAAAATGCTTGTAATTTTTGAACGCAAGGTCACACACAGTTGCGCAACGTCTTATTTTGATCAGAAAAGTCTGCTCTACCAATATACGTATTTAGAAAAAAATTATTATTTGAAGACTCAGGTTTTCAAAGCTTATAGAAAACTTCCTTGAAAACTACGAAAAACCAGTTCTAGGCCCGAAAGCGATACAGATTCTGAAAGTAGGCACTCCAGGCTATGTTTCCATGTGCTTGCCTCCAAAATGGTTTTTTTGTTACAAAATCATCATTTCTGAGAGGGGGGAGGGGGGAGCTTAAGCGAAAATGAATTATTAATAATAAATCAATGTTTCAAGAGAAATGAAACAAACAGCAACAACATAGCGGTGGCGATGCGACTGTAAACTGTTCATTATTAAATTGCACAAGTTGTTACTTACTGTTTTTGTATCTTGTAAACGTTCTTCGTTTTTACACATTTGAATGAAATCTTTTTCTCTTGTTGACATAAACTTGTTTGCTTGTGGTGTATCGCTCGATAATATGTACCAAATAACTGACCAGAGAATGCCAGAAACACCTTTTACAGCAAGAAAACATTAATTATAAATAGCAGAAGTCAGACACTTTACCTAACGTATAATAGAAATATGACCATCCATAACGAAATATGAATGGAACATAATCATTGAAATTAATTGAACAAAATAATCCTGCCATAATCAACGAAATGACTGTACCGAATGAAGGTCCTACAGTAATGAAAGTGTACAGTTATGCACACCTTTAAACAAATCACACAATTACCATTTCTTGGAAAAGAAAATAGAACTGTTCTTTCTTCAGCAGGTACCCAAAATGAATTCAGGCGAAAAAGTGTTGGCCATATACAACCCTTAAATGAAAAAAAACGATCGTTGAGTTGTTATTGAAAGATTTGATTTACTCTTTTAGGTGGACAGACATTTAGCATTTATGCTGAGAATTTTGTTTTTCTTTTTTCTTTGCAACCTCTTTTTGCGAAAAGAGAACGCCATGAACCAGCAAACTATTCATCGTAGAGAAGTTTTGAAAAAGGAACAATGTTCTACGGAAACGAAAATTGACCATTCTTTACTCAATTAAAGATCCAAACTTGGCGGTATAGGCTCCATAAATCGGCAAAAAAATGGCTGTTGGGCTTAGATTATTATTGTTATTTTTGTCCGACGCCATTTAGTCAGAGTCTCTCTTTTTCAAATTTCCTTCCTTGTTCTTTTATCTTATCAGCAGTTCAAAGAGTAAATCAAAGCAAAAATGCAATGCTCAGAGCCCACTGATAGGATCTGCTCGGAGCAATAGGTTCAGTCAGAGATAGAGACCTATAGTTGGAAACTACACGCTTGAATCTATCTTTCTACAAGCGAAATCGATTTTTGGAAAAATTTCTGACGCTCGTATTCCAGAGGATCTTTGGGAAACTAGTTTAGATTTTCTCAAATTCAAATAGCAATCTATTAATATTTTTGCATAGATAGATAGTCCAAAGTCTCTTCTACAAAACTGGAATTAAGCGACATCTTCAAAAACTATGGTTAAGGCGCTACGAAAATGTTTTCCGAAGGGCTAGGACTCCTTTATCAATAGATTTGGGACTACCAGAAATGTGTGAAAATATAGGCTATCAACTATGCTGAGTCCCATGGCAATGTCTGTTTTTAGAAAAAGAGTTTAGAACCTATTGAAACCTAAGTTTTAGGAAAACTGGCCTTTGCAGGCTGTGTTCAGATAATATTAAAAACTTCATAACTCACTCAAAATACATCAGAACTAGTTGAAAACTTCAGCATGTACCGTATCGGAACTGCTTTGTATTCTGTGTATAAAAGAATCTGCAAAAAAGAATCCAGAGAACTCGGTGGTCTTCTGCATGCAAAGACTTCTAGGAAACCGTTGAACAAATATTGCCTTTTCAACCATGACGTTTAGTGGACAAAATTAACCATATCCTGAAGTATTCAACTAGTTCTGATGTATTTTGAGTGAGTTATGAAGTTTTTAATATTATCTGAACACAGCCTGCAAAGACCAGTTATCCTAAAACTTAGGTTTCAATAGGTTCTAAACTTTTTTTCTAAAAACAGACATTGCCACGAGACTCAGCATAGTTGATGGCCTATATTTTCACAAACTTTCGCTCCAGACTGGTCTTCTAATATGGGGTGGCCTCCGATTTTGGAGCGGTGTTTAACGCCTTAACCATGGTTTTTGAAGATGTCGCTTAATTCCAGTTTTGTAGAAGAGACTTTGGACTATCTATCTATGCAAAAATATTAATAGATTGCTATTTGAATTTGAGAAAATCTAAACTAGTTTTCCAAAGATCCTCTGGAAAACGACCTTCAGAAATTTTTCCCAAAATCGATTTTGCTTGTAGAAAGATAGATTCAGGTGTCTAGTTTCCAAAACTGAAAACAACAGGTCTCTATCTTCATTTCCTTCTGAGTTATTCAAAAAATGACAACTTGTATTATAATCTGGAATGGATAATAGTTATTGGTTTGAGTTTGGAAAATCTATGGACACACATAACACTATGTACACGTTAAAAAAATGCTCCACAATATACTGAATGTTTTTCTTTACGACTTTTTAAACTATATTTATACTAATTCTGGTCTTTTTTTTCTATGGATCCTTCTATTTTTCAACGAAATGTCGATTTATAAAACAATTTTTTTGTTAGAATATCGATCCCACTGAATAATGTTGATTTACTAAATATGCAACAAGTTTCTAAAAAAACAGACCTTTTTGTTTTCAGATAAGCTGATCAATAAAACTTATGCTCTCTGCATCCTTCTGAAATGTGCGGCTTTATTTTCTGTTTATAAAGAGAATACCTTAATTGCTTACTTGTGCAGCACCCATAATGATCCGTGATAAAACCATGACTGATGGATGTAGTTTAGCAATGATTGGTACTAATATTGTGCAAAGTGATGATAAGCACACAATGAATGAATAAAATATCCTTGGCCCAATATACAATCCAATAATTCCACTAGCTACTTGTGTTAGAATGTAACCAGCATAAAATGAGCCAAGAATTAACCCACGAGTTTGTTTTGACCAGCGTATGACTTGATTTGGCTTAGAATAAAAGAGAAAAAGTACTCAGTATAGAGCTACTTCGATGTCTTTGAACATCCTACTGAACGAAGTTTCTTGGAAAAGTGCAGTTGCTGACAGCTTCGATCCAACGATGATAATGATAAATTTGTCGTCCCATTGTGTCGTATATCTGCATCTGGATTAACCATACATACAAGGCCAACACTAATAAAGAATTCAATAAAATATCTAAATTTCAGTTTCATGGACATGTACAATTTTGAATTTCAACTGATTAGAATAATAGTAGCTTTGGATTGTCGAAAAAAAGGTTTTCTAGTAATTCAAAGCCAAAATGAAATTTCATGCTTTGAAATGAAGCTGAATAGAGTTCGGTTAAGCAAACTCTGAAGTCATCTGTTCTCTACTGTCTGTGATAATCTGGCAATCGACATACCATCTTTAGTAAATCTCGCCATGTTTCTGAGAAGAGGGAAAAAAATCCTCTAGAACCACATAAGAAGGAAGATATTTGTTCAAATTTCAGAATGATGGCAAACATTAACATACGAGAGACCATTACGCTGAGCATAACATAAAAAAATACCAATAAACATCAAAAAAGCAATAAATATACGGTAGGAACATAATAATGATGGCGCTAAAAGACGAGATGCAAAGATGTTAAATACCATAGACATGAACAAGTCATTTTACCATTTCGTTTTGAAATATCATCATCCTTGTGATTAACAACGTCCACCGGTTTTGTCATTATCATTTCTTTATCTATCATAAGAATAGAAAAGTAGTACAATTGAAGAAATTTATTTTCTTCCTTTTTAAATTTAATTTTATAAAAATATGTCCTTAATTTTCAGAATAGAAATAGAAAAGAAGAACATTGACATTAAGTTATGTGTTTGATGTTACTTAACATATAATACTTTTAAGGTTATCACTTTAATGATTACTCTTCAATTTCTTTCTTGAATAGGATTTTGTTATGTCATATTGTACCTTTATTGTTTTTAATATTATACCGTTCACATACATGACGCAAAAACAAAAACCTCAAATTATCACTTAAAGATAACAAGTTCTTTAAACATCTGCTGATCACATTATAGATGATATACGTTTACGGATAAGAGAGAAAATGTTAACATTAGGGCACAAATAATAGTCCTCCAAGAAGTAGAACAAAGAAAAGTAGGATTCAATTATATTCTCATTTTACATTTTTTCACGTAAAAAATGGATATTGTTGTTAGTTCGGCTGCCGACAGAATACTAGGGAAATAGAACTGTGATAACTAATATATTTAGAAGATCTATATAAACATCTGCTGATGACATTTTATTTCATTATGATAAGGATCCATTAGTTGCTACAAATATTTTGAATGATTTAGTCAAAGCGTGTGAATGGTGTAATGTATGGCATGTTCCTCTAACCTTTAACAAGTGTAAAGGCATAATGAGATTAAATACGGGGGTTTAAAATATACTGTCGATCTTTCTTGAACTTCTCATATTTACCATTCATGTGTGAGTAGTAATTCAGTTACCCGCCTCATGGAATATTATTAAATACCATTAATCGAAATGTTGTATGTTAAAATAGAATCCAGGTAGCATGAATAAGATTAGGCACTATGAAAAGTTCATCTAGCGACAAAGTCTTTATTGGATAAGGCTCGATTACCGTTCTAAAATCTTTCATTCAAATTTATTTGTCCGAAATTGTACATGGGCGTTCAGTAGAGGTCTGCATTAGATAAACTTGTCCATGGACAGATATAAAATTATTTTAAAAACTTTTTACTAGAATAAAAGTGTTCGCTTCACAGACAAAGCATGGACATGAACAAAGAGAATAAGTAAAAACTTTTAATATTTAGCATATTACTCTCTTAGAGGACAGAAGTTACAGATATATCCTTTTACAAGTAAAGTCATAGAAAAATGTCGATAACTATCTAATTATAACTGCAGATCAAAATCGATTTGATATCGGTTTGCATCTTCAGATCAAATAGAACCATGGTTCTTGAAAAAGTATTAATTAAATTTCACTCCTCTAAATATAAAAGATAAAATGATAAATTAAGCATACGGTGCGACTTTAATGCTCAGAACTAAGTATGGTGTACGACTTTCATGTTTCGAGAATATTGAAGAGATTGAAATAGATCGAAATAGTGTTTTTATTTCTTTAAGAAATAAAAACACTATTTCAATATAGTCTAATGTATATAAATTCGGGAAACACAGAAAGATAAAAGAGTTAAAAGTTGTGATATATATATATATATATACTTGCTTACTAAAATACTTTTAAGGGCTCCCCACCCCTCAAAAAAAGTATTTTTCGACAAAAAAATCGATTTGGATATTTATGCATAGTTGTATAGCCCAATATATCTGCTTTCGAATGCACTATGATTTATTGGTTTTACGATGGTTTTTGAGGGTTTTACAGCGGTTTTTCTG